AGAGCTACAGAAAACACTAATACCATTTTGAATCATTGAATTTTTTCAAAAAAAAATATGCAGGAGGAACTTTGACCTTCAGGTCAACGTCTTCTTCCGGATATTCTTGTGTTACTTTCGTCTCGCTAAAGGCATCTGTTGCTCTTACATTTTCTGTTGGCTTAACATTTTCGCTTTTCTAAAAGTTCTAGTTATATCACATTTTGCATGATATCACATATCAGTAATCAAAATGTTGCACGAAAATTTATTTCAATAAATTAACAAATCATATCAAAATAAATTTGCTCAAACTAATAAATATTTTTATGTAAACACAATGTGATAGTTAATTTATAGCTGCAAGTAAGAATTGTTTACTTTCACTTTGATTTATTGAAATTCATTATAAGTAATGAGTACTTTTCAAAATTTATTGCTATTCAGTTTTTTTAGATGTATTAAAGATTTCAGAAAATTATTTCTTATCATCTAGCATCAGCATGTCTCTCTCGTATCTAGAATCCACTCTAGAATCCACTACCACTTTATTTCCTTCTATTCCTTACCGGAGATGTAATGCCTTCTTGTGTTCTTTCCAAGCATACATAACCTGCATTTTCCTGTGATTTTGATTGTTTCTGTTCTTGCCTTTTCACACCTAAAAATTCCATGTATTTTATGATTGATATTACGTTTCAAGCAACACAAAAGACTGATCACATGCTTGATTTAGAATATTCAATAATTAATTTTTTTAGTTTGAAATTTTGACTGTTCTAACTGTTACTGAACACGCAGTAAGGATCAAGCTAGAAGCTAAAATGTTTTAATATTTATAAGATTTGAATTATTCGTAGGTCTTCGCAAAAATGAATATTTGTGCATCATAAATTAAGTCAATAATAAAAGTATAGAAATGAAGCGGCGTAATTCCTGAAACTTACGTTTCTTCAGTTTATTTCAAATTAAGAAATGAGATATTCAAAAAGCTTATAATTTAGCAACTGCTGTCTGCATTTTTCCTTTCATTTCTGACTAACTGTTTTGGAAAATTAATACGTATTTTTTTAATTTCGCGTATACTATAAGTATAAAAACTAGCTACTGTAATTTATGATATATTTAATAATTTTTTGATAACTTTTTCCAACATGAACTTCTCTCTGTTTGCATTCTGCTGTGCTAAGTTTTTTTGAGAACAAATGTAAATTTTTTAACAAAATTATGATTTCTTGAACTCAGAAAATATTGATGTAAGATGTCTGCCTCATACAGTCTAATTCAAATTTTCCATCATTGCAAATAATTGGGAAGCTACATCAGAGCAGTTCAGAAAAATAATTCCATTTTTTAATGAATTTATAGTTTTACTTTCTATTTTTCAAATTTTGTCTCCAAAATGTAGCCTTTCAAAAGAACAAGATTTGCCTTGAAATAGTTGAGTCAAAATCGTTCGCTTATCTAAGCACTGCTTCTGCTTCTATGTCAGAAAATAAATTTCAGTTTGTAAGTACTTTTTTAAACCTTTATTTTGCACTTTCATTTGATCCAGTGATTAAATTTGTCAAGCAGAAAATGTAAAGTTTTTAATTCATTATTTATTGCTCGTCAAAAATTGTTATTATCATTCCTGTTATCATTATATCTGGAATCTCTGAAAGTCGCTGGTCAGATTTTTATGCTTACATTTTAGTGAGAAAAAATATGCTAATAAAAAAATTTATTTGCTGACCTTTTTGGATCATTTTCATTTGCTTGACTTTTTTTCGTTTTATCGATTTCTGTGTTTTTTTTGTATCAAAAGTAATTGATATTATCAAATATATTTATCAAAATTTTCTTGAGATCAAATTTATATCAATTTCTTTAGCTGACTATATTAATCAGAAGTAATCAAAATCAGAAGATTATTTTGTATTATTCAGCTTGTTATGAATATGTACTTGAATACTTTACTCATAAAACTGAATAAAATAACTCTGATAACGGTACTGAATTGCTGAGAAAATTTTATTGCTTATCATAAAAATAACCTTTCTTCCGCAATTGCATGTAGCATACAGAGTAAATATCATTACTACGTGTATGAACTGAGTGATTAACGTATACATTTCGAAAAGTATGACTAAGTTATTATGCTGTAATAATTTTAGTAAGTATTGTTTATTACTTTCAGCAAATTAGTAATAAGTGGAAAAAGTTGAAATGCGCAACCATTCCCTACAACATTCAAACGATTTCTAGTTCTCGCATGCATTATCATATTTCAGAAACTACATTATGCTTTTGGATATTATGATAAATACATGTTTTATGATAAGTTCATACTGGTGTATTGGAATTCGAACTTCTATTGTTTATTATTACAATAAATCTGTATGATATCACAATGGGTTTTGATGTGCACGCGCATAACTTTAATTAAAATAATTTCAGTGTTAAAATTTCAAATAACACTATTACTTAAATCAATTCCAACAAGTTAAGTTTTTCAGCAAACATCTCATAAAGTTTTTAATATTGCTTTTTAATAATAATTAATTTTAGATTGCTTTAAAGTTGTTGTTTCTAACCAGTAGTAGTCTAAGGTACATGCAATTTGCAAAAAATATTAATTAAAACACAATATTAGTAATTAACCTAAATTAAAATAATTGTTATGGGTATTATTAATGCTATTATTATTACCAATTATATTAACAATAACTACATTTTTCATAGACATTATTAAAACTAACAATAATTAAACTTTCCTCTTTTTTTTCACTATTATAATTAGCTACTACTATTGGTTTACAATAGTAATAATAATAATTATTATTATTAATAATGAAAAGATGAGAACCGAAGCAAGCTTCAGTTCTCATGATTCTTTAAATTAAATATTCACCTCACACCATAAATTCCGATCTACACCGCACTGAACTGAGCTAAATATTAACAATAATTACATTCTCGTAATCACAATTATTTTATATTTATTTTGCGGATTTTACTTCAGAATTATTATTTTTAGCATTATACTGTTGATATTATAATTTTCACTATTATTATTTCAGAAAGCTACTGATCGAAAGTACATGATTGGAAGCTTTGTGATTAACTGAATCTAGCGCTTTTTGACGTCGTACTACACAGTGTATATAGCAGGTTTCCATGCTCTCTGCACTTCGCTAAATTCAAGAGTGCCTGCCTCTTGGCACCTTGAACATGCGCAGCGGGTCCTAATTGGTTGTCTACAAGTAGTCCCTTTCTAGTAGCATCTAGTTGCATGACACGTACCAGATATTTAGTTCTTGTAAAAGTTTAACATACATACCACTGGCTTGATGTTACTACTTTTACTTGGGATACTGTTTGGAATTAAGTAGGTAATTCTTTCGTAAAACTATAGATCCTGTGCTTTTTAATCAAGTATATGCGATTCATTTGTGAATTGCTCAAAATACAAGCAGCGCAACGCTTTTTGAGACTATTTCCACATCCACTGCATCTGGTCTGTCTCTTGTCCCGAGCCTTACACTAGGGATTTATGCTTTACGTCCAGATAAACCTTAGGACTGCGTATTTTCCTTGATGCAGGTGTTCAGTGTCTTGACAAGCATCTTTGACTGCGCTCTGAAAACCGCTTCTGCTGGTATAGGTAATGAACACCACTTGCGACCGTTGAATTCGCTTGCTTCTTCATTTCTTGGAGGGTAGCACATATAAACTTCTCGCTATGCAAGGAACAACACATGACCATTCCTATCTCGGTATTCTCTCGAAATGGTTGAGAACTGCGCTCAGCACTACTCTGTGAAATCTCGACCCACATACGAGAACTTCGAGCGTAATCATCCTGCTGGTTCCTGGTTCCGGTACACCGGCAGAGTGCTCTCTCCTAGGCTTCACGAAGCCTCATCTGTCTTCTATCTTGGTTCCAAATACGCTTCTTCTTCGTTCATCTTCCATTTTTTGATCAGACTTCTGATATCCTGACTGTAGCACAACGCGGCATTCTTCTACGTGTAGGTTTCCAACTTTTCCACAAATCATTTCCTTTTCCTTTCCATTCAGCCCATTTTCTTGCTTTCTTTCTCTTAGCTTTGTCCCTCTTTCAATTGCTTTTCTTCAGAGTTTATGTGATGATACGATCATTAGTCTCCGCATTATACTTGCCGCTTCTTGCAATCTCTATGAGTCAGAGGTCAGAAACACGTTCTCAGCCGTTACACTACTGATCTGATTGATTGCTAGTTTTTTGCACTGCATTACTATCATTTGTACCAATATGACTATTGATTGTTGCAATGTTCATAGTGACATTTCCGATTTGTTACCATTGTTGTTGCAAATGACTGCACCGCTGCAGTCGTAAATAATCTCTTGCATAGCAGATAAAGTCAGAACAAAACTAGGAGCGTAAGTTAGAATGCGCGAAGAAATAATCTCTAAGTTACTTCTACTTTACATATTTCCTGCCAATGATAGAAGCTTTATGATAGGACTGCTTTATGGAGGCAGAATTTTGCTACATTTTCGATCTTTGGTTAAAAGATTTCAAAGTCCAATTAAAAAAAAATATCAATTGATTGACACGTTTACGCTGCGAAGTTCAAAAAATACTGCCATAAAGCAATGCTAATTCGAAATTCAAGCAAAAAATATAATCATTTGTTGAGTTCTAAAAGATAACATTCCATTTTGCCAGCAATTTGTACTAAGAATTGCAAAGAGATAATTGCTAGACAGTCTGTATTAATTATTTATTTCATAGAGATGAAATAAGTAAGTGGAATTAATAAGTGGTAATCTTGCGTGCGTTGTTTACCAAATTCAGTTTGAGGAATGAAAAAGTTGAAATTGGAAAAGAGATCAGAAAAAGGGTTTGATCGAAAAATGACCTAATTTTGTTTATTTATTTATTATTTATTTATTTAATTATTTATTGCAATAAAAGGAATTGAACTGATAAAAATAGTAAAATGTCAAATTAAGATATTGACAGTTCTGACTATTTTCAATTGCATGTCATGTACTTGTTAAGTTGTGAGTGAATACTGTGGGATATCATGGCGATTTGACTTCAAAGTTCAGAAACTTTTTGATATTTATTTGAAAAATAATTCGAATGCTCACTGTCTGTTCCATGTATTTTTCCAAAATATATTAGAAGTGATTCTGAATCTGTATGATAGTCGTAGAAATGATTCTTATGTATTGTTTAGTATTAAAGCTCAGTACTGTTATTTAATTCATTCTTATATTAAGTGAATTGTTCATATTTTGATAACAAAATCAGATATATAATAAAATATAATTTTATTTATTTATTTTCATAATCGTTTATATGCTTCAGTTTATAAAAGGAATTTTGCAAAGCTTAAAGTCAAAAAATGAAATTGATAATGTCTGAATTTTGAGTATTTATCAAAAAAAAAATGTAACTATGCAAAGATTATTTCCTTTTGGACTCGATCACTTCAGGTCACGTTAGCTTTGAGTAATGGTAGGTACTATATGTATGCTCAGAAACCGATGTCATTAACTACAATATCATTTAGTGTCATTACTTTGTTGAAAGATTAAACGTGACCTTACGGAAACAAAAGTTAATCTCTTTTTGTGTGTATTTTATTATTCTTGTTGAGCTCAAATTTTTACTGTCGACAAGAAGAAATTATCAGTTTTGAGTTGAAGTATACAGATTGAACAGAAAAAACAAACATTAGGGCGAAGCAACAAAGACATATGCCTTTTTCCTCAGTTTATTATTGCACTAAATAGTTTTTAACCTGTGACCTTTGGACTTTTATTCAAATACACGTTGTAATTTTTATTACATTTGATTGAACATTATTGAAGTATTAAAATGAATTTTAGTAAAGTATTATCACTTTTCAACCTAAACGTTGAGGTCTTGTAAAATATTTAATAAAAGTTACTTTTTCATATGAAGTAAATTAAGTAAAACTTTGATATTAATGGGAAAAATCTCACTCTTTATGAATATTACTCTATGTAACATGTACAAATATTAATGTGTATGGCAAAGATAAATATAAAAAACACTTCACACACACTTTTTTCTTGCAGTAATATTTCGAAAATTATTATTTCAAAAAATCTAATGAAAAGTTACTCAACTTAATTTTTATTTCGTTTACAAAGTGAATCTAGAATTTATAATTTATTTTTTAATATTTGCTCACTTATTTGTTGTGATTTTATGCAGACATAAGCAGGTGCTAACCATTGAAATACCTTCTCAATATGTTGTATTGTTTAGCTATGTTAATTTGTTTTTTGAATTGTTCCATTACTTTTTTGAATTTTCTACGCAGTGAGCTCTCGAAAACATTTTTGTGATGGTATTAAATATTTGCTATCAAAATCATGAGAAATAATTTCGATACAAAATATGCAATAATAGAAACGAGCGTTGAGTACAATGAACAAAACAGTTGATTAATAAATAAGCTGTAGAGAAATAGCTGAGGAGAACTCAAATGTACGCAGAAACATTGATTTAATCCTAGAGAAGAATAATAGTAATAATAAGTATTGAAAAATTGTATCACTATCAAGCTGAGGACTGTAGAAAATGTGGTTAATACAATGATTATTAATTTGTAATATATCGAATTTGAATAAGATGGAATCAGCAAATTTATCAAGCACAGTATTTATGAAAATGAGGAGAATTGTCATTTAATAATGCAATAAAATTATATTTAGTTGAAGTTCTTAAAGGTTAGAATGAAATTACTGCAATAGTATCAAATTATTGAAATATGTTTAATACAAAATTATTGTAAAAGGTTTCAGAAAATACCGGGAATCTACTAATATCCGGCATGCTGATACCATGTTCACGATTGATTATGCCGAACCGACTTCTCTCGCTTCAAATTCACATAAGTCAAAAACTTTGACTAATTACCAAAGGATATCAGCAAAGGAATTTGATAGTCTCAAGTGGAAATTGCAAAGTTTGTTTAAGTATAAAAATTATCAGTTTGTGATATAATTTCACTTTATTGTCATAGTAAATACTCTTTACATTTCACAAAAGCAATTTGAAATGTTCGCAATGATTACAGAAGTACTAATTTTTATTTGCAAGAACTTACTTTAGTGAGATAATCCGAGGTGAGATAATCCGTAAAACAATCTAAAAAATAATGAAAATTATCGCTCAATTAATTCCATCTTTGTATCAAAAATACATATTCTCTTCATTTTTAACTAAACTTTAAATTTTCGAATCAAAATCATACTCTTCCCATTATTTTGTATAGTTTTGAAGTAATTTAAATGGCTTAAAATATTCGAAATAATTAGAAAAGTAATAATTTCAAGACAGTTGTGAGGTACGTCAACGTAGAAGACCATGCGATTAGCTAAGCTATTCATATTCATCAAAATTATATATCACTTCTCTCTTACAAATCCTATTCTATTCTGTACGTGCGCTAATCCTTTAAGTTTGTTTGTCTTTTGATGCGTTCATTATCTCTTAAATTGCCATAATTATCCACGTTCGATGATCATTATCACGTACTTTACAGTTATAGTAATGAGCCGCAGCATTTTTGGTGATTTAAATTTAGACTTGCGTAGCTTAAATCTCTGAAACAAGCACATATCCAATAGCAGAACCGATCGTGAGATGTGAGGAGAATAATATGCTTATGTGTTACATGAACAGCGTTCAATATGTGCCACTGCTGCGCTACATATGATATGGTTTGATGTGATATGCACAGTCCATTCTTTTGCTACTACATAGCATTCATATCAGCACCGATTATTACAACCATACTAGAACAGTTAACTTTATTAAGCTAGCTAGCCTACTATAGCTTAGCTTAGCTTACAAACTCAAGCAAAATAGTTCGCATCGGCAATTATCACACATTTATATTCACAAAAACTTGATAATATTTTACTTTGTACTTATCGTTTTTCAAAATCATCTCTTTCTCGTCACAGTCTATACTAATATCCCGAAATTATCGGTTGATTGATTTATTGATAAGAAGTAAAAGTGAAGTAATCAAAGTAAGTTAGTAATGAAAATTGTAATCTTAAAGTTAGTCATATGAATTTAATTTGATCAATTAAAATAATAATTTTACTGAAATTCTTATAATGTTCCACTAGAAATTAATTTTGGTGCAATTGATAAGTGAATATGTAAAATGTTATTATTAATCAAAAGTGATTCAGCAAGCAACAAATAAATGTAGCTGAAAAATTATAGAAAATTTTCGAAAAATTCAGATAGTATTTTCAGATTACAAATATTCAGAAGACAGTAATGATAACTTATCGTACATTAATTGTCGACTTGTGGTACCATCCGTGATATTCGCAATAATCAGTATAATGGCAATTTCACTTGGAATTACTCTGGGCCATTTCTATGATTTAAAACGAAAAGAAGAAGGCAATATTCCAACTTGGTTAAATGCATCTGGATGGTACTCTAATCACTGCCAAGTAAAATTTTAATAATTTTAACAAAAGTAATTACTATTATTACATGCTGTTTCGTCTTAATTTTTAGTACAAACTAAGTTTGAAAATTGCTAGTAAATTATGCCTTAATAATATTCAGTATATTGTTATACTCTGGTATTAATTAGAACTTTTGATATTGAAATAGCGAATAAAGTTTTCATAAAAATAATTCAATTTGCAAGTGATGTGCAACTGCTATTCATAGTATATATTCATTTTGCAGAATTCTACTTCTGTTACGGTACCCGAAAAATACTTACCGTCGATATTACGAATTCTAGAGCTTACTGTACAAGCGAATGTGTTATTCCGTGTTGCTACATGTATACCAAACTCTCTTCGCATTTTCCAAAGTTATTTGAACAGTGTTATGAATAGTTATTTTTGTCCTGACATCAAGGAATGGCGATGGTATCGTATTTGTAATACCATTACACCAATTTTATTGCTATTTGAAGTTTCTGCTTGTACTGTATTTTCCATTAACACTATTAGACAAGATTATCAAAGTAAGATTTCGCGCATGCAATTGCAATATAATATTTATTACACATACTTGTTTTACAATGAACTAATGAAGTAAATTGAAAACTTAACAATTATCAATATTTAATATTCGTCGTGATGATAAATTTTTACTTACCTTATGTCGATAAGAGGAGTTTTGTAATTAATTTTGCAAATTACAGTAGTATACAAAATAGCATTCCACTGCTTTTTAATGAGTGCTTTAATGCATATGGTCACGAGCACAGCGGCAGCCATTTACCGAACGAACAAGAAATTTGAAGTGATCTTTTTTATACCTCTCTACAACTTTTATTTATTTTTTTAATAAAAAAACATTTCTTCAATTTCTATCAAAATTACTCTTTAAGACTGAAAAGACCTGAAATGATATTATTATTATTATTATTATTATTATTATTATTACATAATTTTATCGCTATTATATCTTGTGATAATGATGTAAAATTTTGCGAGGATGAAAATTTGAAGTCTATTTCATTTTGAAGTTTAAGCTTTTGTTCAAGAAAATCAAATTGAAATCATTTGAATGGCAATTATATTTAATAATATTGTAATAACTATTTTAAAAAAAATCATTTCTGTTGCTTATATTTTGTATCAAAAACATCAAAGTAAAAAATTATAAATATTTTCACATTATTTTAATTGATAAACAATAGTCGTTTTTACAATTCTTTAGTACAAATTTGAAAAAAAAAATAGCTATTGAGTATAGGACAAATTTTTTGGAAGCTTTGCCACATACACTTTCAAAACCCGACTTATTACGTTTATCATTGTTCATTAACTTGATATATACTTATAGATTATCGATCGGATATCTGTAATGATCAAATTGATCAGTTTTATTACGTTTGGTACTACAGCCCCAAAAGTAGCAGTTACTCATAATTCATTTATAAACCTTCCAGGCTGTCATTATTATGGTTTGTTGCCAAATATTGAAATGATAATAGATCAGCTACTGTTCTAATTAGATGCAGTCAAAGCATTAATTAATTAACACATTTTTCAATTCTTTCCCACTTGCAGTTCCAGCTTACCAGGCACTTTTTGAATACGCATTAATTGTTTCCAACGCAGCATTCCATCTCACTGCGATTATTGACACGCGAAACTTAAGGCACTAACTTCACTCTTTTTTTGATTTTCATATTAATGCAATTGCTTTCTCTTCACTATTGAAAAGAAAAATTTAATTTGCAAAAAAATGTCAAAGGTTAATTAAGACATATGCAAGTTTGTAATTTATTTTTTGCTAAGAGTGAACTTATTCAGATATTACCTATTAAACTTGCTATATCATGTTCAAATTCGAAAATTTATCTCATAATGAAAGAATATTTCAAATATTTATTAAGAATTTAAATAAAACTTTTTTTAGATCTTATCAGTCAAATTTTCAGATTTCTTTTGTATCCACGGACTTGTTCCGGTGAATGTGAACCTCTGTCTCCAAGAAATTTTCAGAAAGGTGGTAAGTTTGAGCACTGTCGATCAGAACATCATTTAGATAAAAAGCGATTGAAAAATTCACTGAAAATGAGACAGACCAGATCCTAACACTGACACTGTGTCCATCAAATACTGCTTATATGAATAATTCTTTCGTTTCATTTGTTCAAAGTTAACAAAATCTTATAGAATTCAGTTTCATGCTGTTCCACTTATTAATCCATGCATATTCCTTCATTGACGAGAGGAATCTTGCTCTTGTTAGCATACTATACTCAATAATATTATCGCCAAAATAACTCCAGAGTAGAGTGAATATGCTTCTTCTGTTAAAGTGAGTTTGCTTTTTGGAACAGGAACAGAATCTGAATCATTTTATTGTCGCAGAATGAGGCATACATCTTATTCAAATGAATTAATTTTTTATTGATGAGATCTAAGAAAAAGTTTTATTGAAATTGGTGTAAGATGTAAGAATTTATAGAAATTTGCATATTTAGCACCTTTACAATTATTTATTATTATTAACTGTTTTTGATAAGCAAAAAAATGTATATTTGTTCGTTTATTGTATATACTCTATAAACAAACAATACATGCGGATAAACGCATACATTATACATTCATATATCTACATCATTAAACGTAGCAATACAAGAATTTATGTACACAACCACATTTTATTTCCCATGCAATGCGCTTAAATACCGTAGAGAAAACTACAGAATTGTAGATACTTTTGTAAACATTTTGTGGATTCTGAAACTTCAAAGAAACATATTTACACATAAAATATCAGTTTGAAAACTGCTTAAACATTTTTTAACATAAGTAATGAACTGACAATTGCAAGCTTGTTTTTGTTCAAATAAAAGCATCATATACTGCACTATTTAAATACCCATAAACAAAAGCATACGTTTCAATATAACACTGCTGGAAAAATTTGCTGTACATACATTCCAGAAGATGTACCCTGAAAGTCCACGACAATGATGAGGGATAGCAAATGGAGCACACATTCTACAATCAGTGAGAAAACTTTTTGTAAGAGTTAGATGAGTTCTTAATCAATGCTAGCACATTTAGTAAACATACAAATTGTGGATCAATCAATCAGAACTACGCTTTTGACATACAAATACTTCAACAACATTGAATAGTACACTTACGTAAAGTCGCATAGAGACATATATATATAGCATGTCTGTTTGATTTTTTAACTCTCATCATTATCGAGGACTTTCACAAGTACGTCTGCTAAAATGTATATGTATAGTGTACAGTGTAGAAGGTTAGCGCAATCTATGTTGAATTATATATATATATATATAACACTAATACGTCTACAAGTGTATTCGTGTACATTTTTGACTTTGCATATGCTTGTTCTCACGTCTTTAAAAAGACAGGTCTTTTCAGTCTTTACTTTTATGTAAGTGTACGACTTCAATTTTTATGTGTTCCTCCTTGTGCTTGTCTTAGAGTGATTGAATGCACTGACTATTTCTGCATCTTTGGGCGTGTACTGGTGGATAGTTTTTTGTGGTCTACATGGCGCACGTTTTGTTGACTCTGACTATATATACTTGTGTACTTTTATTGGTGCTCATTCCTCATTCTTAAGCTTTTGTGTATGGTCACGTATTAGTGTTATATATATATATGTCTTTTTAAAGACGTGAAACCAAGCATATGCAAAGTCAAAAATGTACACGAATACACTTGTAGACGTAGATTTATGCTATCTCACTACCTCATTTCTTACAGACAGCACACTCCTACAAACATTTTGACTTTGCATATGCTTTGGTTTCACGACCATTAAAATAACATTAAAATAATAATAATACCACCATTAAAATACTCAAAGATAGAAACGATCAAGCACGTGCGTAGTGTCAGAATCTAATATGATGTGAAGTCATGAGAAGATACGTATACAACTGCCAACACACATAATATCACGCACGGCGCAGCATGAGAAAATTTATATTTAAGCGCCTAAATTCACCTTTATTCAAAGCAATTAGTAGTAAGTCAACAAGGAAGTTTCATGGTAGAGGACTCGGAAAACATTAAAAATGAGGAAAAATCATTCAATAAATCGTCAGGAAAGAAACAACAAGTTTATCTAAAAACTGCTGCTGCAGTGAAAGATCTAAAGCACAAAATGACGTAGCAGTAACACTGAGGGAAATATTTAAAAAAATTGCACGAACTGCCAGATTAGCAGCTGTGACATCAAGGTTAAAGGTTTAAATTTTAGCGGATCTTAATGATAAAACTTTGCAGATTTTACACATAAATGACATCCAAATTTTGCACTAAAAACTATGAATCTTCACTTCAGATATTCGGAAGAAGTCATTTTCATAAAATGCCGCAGAACTAGAAAAAATGAATGATAATTCAAAAAACTACTTTTAACGCGACCTGTAACAGGGCCGTATTATAACCACAAATTGTTTGCTATCGCTTTTTAAACAAACGATTAGTCCAGATATTAATCAGGTTTTTTATTTGCTAGTTTGTTTCGTGCAGCTATAACAGCAATAAAATGATGAGTTTTGTGCAGAAGAGTTGTTATCAGTGGTGATAAGCCATTATGTTTACAATTTTTAGCTGGATATAATTGTGTAATACTTGTATAATAGCAAGTACAAGTACAAAACTGCGTCGTCAAAATTCATGAAGGAGTATGTTTGTTATAGTTTTTATTATTTGTATATTATATATTTATTATTTATTTGTATATTTTCTTATAGAAAAACTACAACAAATATAGTCTCTTTATCATAGTAATAACAATAAAGTTTTATAAGAATTGATAGGAAATTATTTCTGACAGTAATATTGAAACATGCATACCATACTATCAATCTTTACGTCAGAGATTTATGACATTTATGAGAGCTTAATCATAATTATAGTTAATTGCCGTCTACAAATTTTGATACTATTCACTTTTTATAATTTCGCATTTTTTTTTGCTGGAATGAAATTATTTACTAATACAGTCGTTTTGGTTTTAGATGAAAATTCGTGTATATTTTATAATATGACTCAGTCAACTTTATCATTCTCCTGCCATATGACCTTTTTTAGGTGTGCAATGAATTATTATTTTTTTAATTTTTTTTATTTTATTGACTTTTCCTAGGTGTACAACAAAAAAGTAATGCTGATGCCCAACTTTTGCTCGTGGTATCGCAATTTGCTTACAACGCTAATATTTTTCGTTTTGTATTATTTTTTGCTTCGCAATATCTGTTATGTTTCATTAATTTGATAAGCCTAATGTTTATTGAGTTATGAGTATTGAGAATTTTATGCATTTATCATAAGGTTTTTTTTCTTTTCATTGCTATCCGTTTTTTTATGGGAAGTTATCGATGGTATTGTATAAATTTATTCATGAATAGATCAGATTTTGAATATGTAGTAGCATTATTCGAAATGAAACGAAACCTTTTTTTTTTATCTCTGTGATTCCTTTATTGACCGCTAGTTCTTAACCAAATAATTTAAGTGAGTCATCTATGAATTTAAAGTGAGTATGTAATATATTTCAAGTGAACTGAATAAATTTTCTTATTTACTGATCGCCGTTCAGTGATGGCATGGGCGATTGTATAAGCGTGGACTATTTTCTCATTGTCACTGCTTCATTTGCCTCTTTCCTTTCTTATTTTTAATTTATTAGCTCACTTCAAAATACACTTTTTCAGTGTGCAAGGTTTTCTTGAATTTCATAGTGCATAGTTAATTAATGAAATTAGGGATAAATGACATTCTATGATCGTTAAATTCTTTTGTGGAAGTTACATACTGATTTGAACTTTGCATGGGCATTGCCGCAGTCATGTAAGATTAGAAAATTTCATGAATTTAAAATCAAGTATTAAAAGCGAAATTTCAGGAAATTCTAACGACATTTAGCTGTCTAAAGTTAGGCAGTTTGCTTATTTATCTGGGGTAGTGAAATGGCCGCTGGGCGATTGCCAGCTTGTGTCATAGATAATGGCACTGGGTTAGCAATTTGACTCATCATCATTTCTTTTCCATACATATTTTGCTTCAATTCAGTTTTAATTGAATTCAGATGATAATTTTATCATGATAAAGTCTTTTAAATCATTCACAAGTCATAATTCTATTAATTTAGCTGTTTCAAGATTTTCAGGTATACGAAACTTGGTTATGCCGGCAATTCTGAGCCGCAATTCATTATACCTTCAGGTATTTTTATTTTTGCTTGTACAGTCATAGCTGTTAGCATATTCTAAAATTTTCTTAATTTATATTGCTTTGGATTGATTTTTCAATGTTTAAAACAAGTTCCATAATTTGTAGCTATAGCAGTACGAGAGAAAATTGGTGCTCAGTCCTCGGCATTGCGGTGGAATACAAATACAAGTTCACGAATTGAGGATCTTGATTTTTTTATTGGTGATGAAGCGCTTTCACCTGCTGCAGCTAATTACATGGTTAAGGTATATACTTTTGCTAAGATTTATTTCAAAAACTGCTTTTATTATCCTTCAGAACATTTTCGTCTTTATTCCTTGAATCAGAAAATCATGATCTCACTATTAAAATTTATTTCAACTCAGTATCCAATTCGTCATGGTATTGTGGAAGATTGGGATTTGATGGAGCGGTTTTGGGAACAGTGTATCTTTAAATATTTACGAGCCGAACCAGAAGATCATTATTTTCTTTTGGTTTGTGGTTTTTATCATTTGCAGTTTATCACTCTAATGTATTATTTGTTTTTGATCGTTATTTTAGTTAGCATTTCAAAGTTCATGTGGAGCTTTTTACGGAATCTAAAGTTAAATACCAAGTATGTGATGTATATTTTCAAAGAAGTTTTGTAGCTAAAGTTTTATTTCGAAAGCAAGTTTTTCAAAATAACACTGACCCATACTTTTTTACTCCAAAATTCCAATGTATAAAAGCTCTTTTATTGATTTTTTCCAGACAGAACCGCCTTTGAATACACCTGAAAATCGTGAATATACTGCCGAAATTATGTTTGAATCATTCAACGTGCCTGGTTTGTATATTGCAGTACAAGCTGTATTAGCTCTAGCGGCTTCCTGGCAAAGTCGTGATTTCTCTCAGCGTTCATTAACAGGATTGGCAAGTTATAATTGGAATCTTTCTTTGCTAAAGTTTTTTGTATTTAAGTATACATTTTGGAAATAGGACTACATCTTCAGTAAGAACAGTTGCGAGTATGTTTTTAATTGAAAAGTAAATGTGGATGATGTGCTAATAATTAGGGCTTCAATTAAGATGAAAGTAAGCTGCAAAAAGGGAAGAAATATATCTGTCAGTTCATCAAAACATTCTCGGTAATAGATGGACTGAAGTTCATTTTTGATAATTTGTTCTATGTCTAACTTCTTAGACATACTCGTTCTAGTTATAGGGCTGTTATCTGTAGTGGAATTATTTTTCATTAGCGTATTCTCAGTGCTGCAATCATTACGCTTTTAGCTACGATCTAAAGAATTTTCATCCAGAATATCTTAATTTTGAATTTGATCCTCTTGATTTCAATTTCATTTGTATTATTTTAGGTGGTTGATAGTGGTGATGGTGTAACTCACTGTATCCCTGTTGCGGAGGGATATGTAATTGGCTCTTGCATCAAGCATATTCCAGTCGCAGGGCGAGATATTACGTATTTTATACAACAGTTACTTCGAGAACGTGAAACTACCATTCCTTCTGATCAAAGCTATGAAGTTGCGAAATCGATAAAAGTAAGTTATGTTGTTTTTTTTGCAAACGGAGGTAAAGTGTTCATAAGTCCAGCACAAAACTTTTAACTCACTTTATTCTCGTGTAATTTTCACGTGTATCTTTGTTGAACTGTCTGGATTTTACATTTTACAAAGGGTTATCTTTCAGTATAAACCTAGTTTAAGTTTGATTTAAATAAATAGTATTCATTCTAGAGATTTATTTAATATCTTTGTTTCTCAGGAAAAATATTGTTATGTATGTCCGGATATTTTGCGTGAATTTACAAAGTATGATATGGATAATGCAAAATGGTTCAAAACTTACGACGGCATAAATAATGTCACGAAAAAACCATTCACTGTTGATGTAGGATATGAGCGATTTCTTGGTCCTGAAATCTTCTTTCATCCAGAAGTATGACTCAACTTCGAATTTCTCTCTGATTTTTTTATCACGATTTACAATTCTCAAGCGTAGCATGATCTAGTCATTGTTTTTGAGAATTCAAAGGATTGTTATAGTTCGCTAATCCGGATTTTACTGTACCTATTTCGGAAATAGTAGATACAGTCATACAGCAATGTCCTATTGATGTTCGTCGTGGTCTTTACGAAAATATCGTTCTCTCTGGTGGTTCAACTATGTTCAAAGATTTTGCACGGCGTATGCAACGGGACATTAAACGAATTTCAAATGCTCGATTAGCTATAAGTGAAGAATTATCCGGTGGCCGGCTAAAGGTATTACCTAATGATCACCCTTTTCATTCTTTTTTGGACTGCCTTTTCACTCACATTTGATTAATTTCCTATGTCTCGCTAATCGTTCTTTAAAATAAGTCTTATTTCTGTGCTCATTTTAGCCAAAACCAATCGATGTTCAAGTTGTATCTCATAAAATGCAACGGTACGCCGTATGGTTTGGTGGTAGCACTCTTGCAGATACGGTACGTGCATTTTTTCAATTAAAGTAATTGTTTTTGTTTTATATTTAGTTCAAAATGTGTTAATTTTAGTATGACAAGTGCTTATGAAAATTTATTGTGTAAGCAGCAGAGTTAGACAATTTTTTTTAATTGTGCTGCATCTGTGTTGCATAAAAGGGCGAAATACAGTCATTCTTGTGAGAAATAAATGATTTCAACATTTATGTAATAAGTCCATTGATTTCATCAACATTTAATAGTGCATGTTTTTGAAAGCTAACAGAAATTGTAGCCTGAATTCTACGAAGTTGCTCATACGAAAGCGGAGTACATGGAAAAAGGACCTAGTATTTGCCGTCATAATCCAGTGTTTGGTGCACTTACTTAACATTCATTTGAAGTCGAAAGTAGTTGCGCAGTTGTTCGTTTTACTTTATTCATTGCACTCATTTGTTGAGCATCAAGAATGCTGTTTGCCCAGTTATACAAAAGAGAGACTTATATTAAGATGTCGAATATTGAAATTTACCTTACCATACAACTTTGGAAGTAGCAGCTGTAATTTTCAATGCCATCATATAGTAAAAAAGTTGCAAAATCAGTGCGATCAGAAAATTAAGTGTAAAATTGCAAAGTATTAGGGTTTATTTTGATATCCGAACAAAGTTAGTAGTGAAGTATATGATGTTGTGGGGTTTGTATGAAATTATAGCGTCATCTGGTTTGAAGTTATGACCATCTCACTATTTCTTATCGTTGCCTTGGTCATTGATTTTAGCTAGGTATGATTTAATTCTTCGTATGTGATTCAAACAAACTGGTGTTCTTCTTTCTTGTGATATATATCGGATGTTTTCGTTTATTTTTTAAAAACTTGTTTCAAAGTTTTCGGAGCATAATATATTGGAATAATTTACTTTCGCAAATGCTTCTAAGATGCTGCATTATTTGAAATTGTCTAATCTGAATTACCGCTAATGTTGTTATCTATAAGTTTTGTTAAAAAATTTTCAAGTCGATAGATTTGAGAACACGGAGAAGCGTGTTTTCAAACTGACAAATTTCAAAGTTTTTATGTTATTCTGTATTACTTAATACATAATGAGTAATTTTTTGATCCGTTCCACTCTACTCATATCATTTTTTTGCTAAACTAATCCAGTCTTTTTTATATTTAATTGATAGTAATGGTCATTCCATCGTCTTTTTCATTGTTATCTTTTTTTTTTCATGCTTTATTTTGTGATGGTATACGAACTTTGGATTATAAGTTGTGCTTAAAAATAAGTTTTGACTTTTCATGTTTGAATTTTTGATTCTTTAGCTTTTTGCTCCTGTTAATTAGTCTAGAGCATGGGAACTAAGTTCATTCGTGGCTTCGCGTATGAACATTGTTTATGAATTAAAATTGAATCCGATTTCTGATCTGTATCGTTGTCTGTGAATGGTGCGCTCTGTACTCATAAGTCATAGTTTTGAGATATTTATAATATAGGATGTCGAAGTATGTTGAATAGTAATGAAGTGCAATTGGATCTGTGTTCATCTTTTGCTGTTATATTCTAAAAATTCTTATATTTTAAAATTTTGGTTTAATAAATTTCATAAAAAGCGTTGTTACATCTGTCATCGAAAATTTCTGTTTTTCTAGTACTGTTTTTCATAAATAATTTTCACTATCTCGTGGTGGGAATTATTTTTGATTCAGTGGTAGTTTCTCAACGTGCATTACTGTTTGATCCTTTCTTTCCTTACATGTGATCTTGGATGGTTAACATAGGGAGTATTAATTGTTATTTGAAGGTTTTATTGCAAAAGAATAATGTGCAGTGTTGTCAATTCTATTATTCAATTTGTGTTGCACGTAATTCTCTACATTTTTTCGTTTCTATATTGGAATCTTTTTATATTACAGATTTCTTTTTATCAGTTTCAGATAGATTACTACTGTTAAATTTAATAATTAAGTAATTTTGAATGGATTTACAAACTATATACTACGATAAATCTGAGTATGTGGAAACGGCCACCGGTAACAAGGTGAACCGGAAATCGAGGCTTTTTGGAAGTCAGAATATTGTACTGAATGGAAAGGTATAAATGGGCATTTTATGTCCTACTTTCATATACAGAAAGAGATGGGAGTAGATTAATATTTTTTTATAGAATTCAGTATACTTTGTTTTAGAATGGACGTTGCAAATAATAAGTCATAACTGTACCATCATTTTTGTTCGGTTTTATTATTTTATTTCATGAAAAATTCATATAATATGCGTACGAACCTTTTTAATTACAGTCTACACTGATGAAAGATTGCATTCTTCGTGGCGATATGCACAACATTCGAACTGGTAAATATTGTGTTGTTGGCGAACGTACTATCATTCGACCATCTTATAAGCGTTTTAGTAAAGGATTAACGTTTTTCCCTGTCCATATCGGTGATCATGTGTTCATCGAAAATGTTCGTCGTGTAGTATTTGAAAAGTTTCGTGTAGCAAAAAAGAATCTTGAAATGTGCTGTGGACGTTTCTAGCAGAAAAACCTATTCTACAGCACCTAAGAGACAATTTTTAATATTTTAATACAGTATTAATACAGGCATCAGTGATCTTGACCAGCTGCTTTAATTCCAAGTTTGCGCTAACTGCAGCTGCATTTTTGAGGATTGTATCGTAATGGCTGCAGAAATTGGTGCATTTGTACACATTGGTCATAATTCCGTGATTGGTCGCAGTGTAATCATTAAAAATTGTGTGCAGGTCTTACCAAATACAGTTGTTCCACACGATGCTGTCATTCCTCCTTTTTCAATAGTTGAGGGTAACCCAGGTATGGTATTACATGATAGTACGTTGCATAAATTTTCCAAAATCCATATCTACTTTTACTTTTTTCTCAAATGGTTATCAAATTATTATTTAGGTACCGTCATCGGGCAACTGCCAGAGTCAACACAGGAGTTAATGACTCAAGCAACTCGCGATTTTTACGATAATTTTGTAGCTGATTCAAAAAACCGACCGATTGTCGTATAGGATTCATATGTTCACAGAATTGTGTATTGTCACATGAAATAAGCAACCTATACCCTAGATGCATTTCATACAAGTGAAGTGATTACGTGATAATAGCGTAAGCTTTTACGAAATTATACGGTATTTATTATATTTTATCATGAAATGTCATCGATTATATCAAGATAATCTGAAAACTGGATGTCTTGAAAAGTAATATGCTTTTCGAAAGTAGAAAGAAAAGCAGAATTCTAATCTGTACAAAACTTGTCTGGGCAAATTTATTTTCAGGTGTGATTGTTAAGGGTTTTAGAGAAATATGTATAATAATGGATCGAACCATCTATCAATTGATGTGTTAAAAACTTTTAAATGCAGTCTTTTTCAGTTTCTACAGTAAATATATAGCCATAAAATATGTGATATTTTGCAGAATTTTAAACTATATATTTGTAGATTTCTGAATTGCAGTGAATAGTTTTCAAAAAAAAGAAGAATGACTCTAGAAATCACTTTTTGAAAAAATTATTTTTGTAAACACTGGTGTACGTGCAGCAACTAAGCTCGCCTTAACTTCCATTGCGAAGCTAGAATGTAGCAAGAAGAGACCCAAAAGTTTAAACGGGACGAAATCCTGGTTTAGCAGCTGAGTCGAAAAGGCCACTAAGAACATAGTCATTTTTACTGGATCAAGTAGTATGATACTACGACACTACTAAGTCATGAAACTCTTAAATTCTGATAGGAAAGAAATCGAAATGAAATCCTAGATTCGGTGAGCAGTTATTTTTGTTTCAGTTATATAAGAATCTTCCGTTCAGATAATGCAAGCAGATTGCTCGTGATTGTTGTTTACTCCTTTGTATGAAATGCATCTGCTTTGATTATTTGTATTCCTAAAAGATCTTGAGAAGTGAACATATTTGATGAATATATTACATTGGATTCATAGGTAACCGAAATAGAAATTATAGAATATATTGATTCTTGTTTGTACCGATCCCCCTCACTTCTGTAAAACAATAGCTTCTGTGCCAAAGCAAAACTCACGACCTGCCAGTACAGTAGACCAGCTATATGGTAATAAGTGCATAGTTGGAACTGTTAATGTAAGACCCAAGCCTGACATTTTATCAAAATTATCATTCTCATGGAAACTGACATTTTTTATCAAATGATGTAAATCAAATTGGAATACATATATATATATATATATACATTTATATACAAAAATTTACAAATACAGACAAAGCCCGTTATAACAGTAAGTAATAATGCTCAATGTTTATGAAGAAGCAACTAAAATCATATACAAACGGAAGTATACAAGAAATAGCAGATACGAGACTCTGAAACTACCATCATCAACATTGCTCCAGAGCAAACAAAGTAAAACCAGTTTCAAATTCATATTAAGAAAAGCTAAAATAGTACAATAATGAAGTACAATACTGAAAGTCTCCCTTCTGGACTTCGGGCGACGCGAGCTTTTCATGTCGCTAGGCAGTGGCTTAAAATTAATAATTACCTACCTGACGTATGCAAACCATCGCTAAGATAACTTGTTCAAATTTATGGTTCTATACAACTCTGAAATCCTCCCATTCAACAGTTAAAAGCAAGTGAATGACTGGATTTGACGTGGCTCACGAGCTACGGATTTTTTCCAACTCAAATTATGCAAATCAGTGCTGCAAAATTATCAAATGAAAAGTATGAGTAAAATGAGGAAAAAAAATCAGCTAAGATCAAATAGAAAAAGGACAAACACCGAATTAATAGAAAATTGACAGATCGATTCCTTTAGTATCTGTCAATTTTTTACCAAATCGACATTCGCAAATTCAACAATGTTTGTAATTTACTTTTCTGTACATATAACAGCAGTTCACCTATAAATTATCATAAAAATATTCTGATTATTATTTTTCTTAAATCCTATCTGAGCACAATCTAAAGTGGCACTGTGAATGAATCACTCGTATAGATCATACAAAGCATCAATTTGAAAGATCACTACTCTAGCTTATATACTACAAGGATTATTAATGGAAATATCTAAAAACATGTACCTTTTGCTGCTAACAACAGATCATCAGAGTTTTGATGCGGTTTTCTCGAAGAGATTTAACGTAATTTTCAGTATTCGTTACTTCATTCCCTTAACCAAAAAATCGAAATACATTTTCTAGTAAACTTTCACTTTTCACAGGATTGTCATTTTCAAAAGTAATAAAGATTTTAATACTGATGCTTCCCTTTCAGATTTAAGATGATGTGAGCTTCTATAACATAAAGCAATGGCCTAAAATTAACAACTATGTACTTGTCTTCAATATTGAAGCAAAAGCTGCTGATGAAGCGACAAGAATTTAAGTATCTTATAATTCCAGAAATTTAACACAAGACTTTGAAATGGACACAAAATTATAACTGCCAATGTTCTGCAAAATCTACATATAGAGCGTACTCAAGACGATTAATCGCAGCTTTGTAAGACAATGAGCCATTTAGAAAATGAGCATCTCTTAATAGATCAATCTGAAATTCAAAATTTTTTATATTTAACATACAAAAAAGAATTTTAATTTCGACAAAAAAATCCACGAAATATGATAAAAAAATCCCAGGATTTGAAGTATTTAAAAGGAATTCACGAATCGAAAAACAATCAAAGGATTAAAAAAACTTCAAATTCAATACTCTCATAGTAATTTTTATAGAGAAGTTTACAAACAGTAATCGTGCACAAAATTTTCTTGAAGCGATATGTGATACTAATAACAACATAACTACCACTCCTTAAAATTTGGTGCTCTTAACTAGATAAAAAAATACCTTATCAAAAGAAGATTGTGGTAATAAAGTACGCATTTCATTTTGTGTGGCAAGGGCCAGAAAAAACGGCCGTAACTCACTGAAGCTTGTAAGTGTTTTCACATTGACCAGTGATGCAGACATTAGCTTCCGATCATGAGCTGACAGCTGACCATACTGAAACTCATGAAACCAATTATGCAATCAAAGCGTAGAAGCAAACGTCTTAACTATGTCAAAAAGAAGCACACTTACTTTATTACGAAGCAAATAATCGATTCGACTAGCAAATGGTACAAATGAATCAGTTTTACTGACTGCGACCGAATTCACAAATGCCCAATGGCACCTAAAAATGAGAGCTGTGAGAAATTAATAATTGATCACAAACATGGTGCAACACACTGCTTTCACACAAGGAAAATCAAAATTCACTTTCCCTGATAAGAATCAACAAAGATAACATGCATTAATTTTTTTAAATAGCTCACATTTGAAATTGTGCCATATAACCAGCAGGAAGTGTACATAATGTTTCCAGTAATTTACATGCTGCAAGATAAAGCTGCATCCACTGGTCACTGCGATCACATTTGAGATCATCCGAAACATTAGTTGTGCCCGATAACTGTTGTTCAATTTGCAATAAAACATGAACCTGCAGCAAGTAGTAATTTTATTATTTTTTCTTTCAATGAAACCAAATATTGGAACAACCGTTTTCACAAAAATTTGTATATCACTTGAAAATGTACTTTCTATAGAATATTTTTTAAATATAGTGGACAATATTATCCCGAACGATAAGTAACGTACCAGTTCTGTTACCATTGAAGGCCACATACTGACTAAATGTTGTGGTTTTTGTCTGATAAGTAAAACTCGATAACACAAGAAAACTTGAGCGTGAACAATTGGAACTTGCGATAATCGTAAATTATCAGAGAGACGTTCTAAAATATTTTTGTTAAAATAAAAGTAACTGACTGAGTCTTGGAAAAAAAATAAATTTTCTTCTTTTCATGTTTTGCTGCATATACAGAAAGATTTTTGAAGAGTTCTCAAGATGCGCATGAAAAGCATTTTTTTTAGTATTTGCACTTTAACATCTGCCATTGTATGCATAAAAAGTGTTTATCACTTAAATGCACTTTCTACATAATGCGAAACATAAATTTATGCTACATGAGGCTAATAAAACTTTTTCCTTACCTTGTATATCAGGCAACTGAGCTTGATATTGACCAAGCTCCGAGCTTAAAACTATAAAAGCTAATCTCTTTAGTGCTTGAGCACGCATTTCATATTCAACTTCCTTGCTTGTTATGAGGCTCGAAAGCGCCGAATTTTGAGATGTTGAAATTCGACCTGGGATGCAACAGCTTTTAATAAGTAAATATGATGAGCCTCAGAAATAAAAACTCATTTAAAAAATCCAAGTATTAAAAAAACGAGCTAATTCTGTTATCTCTAAGAACTCCAATATCGAATATTTTTACTTCTGACATACGCAAAATTAGTTAAGAAAAATTTATCTGCAACCTATATCAGAAGATTATTTCCTAACAAAACATAAGATTCCCGCGCATTTAATACTATTTAATTCACAAGAGAATTTTTTTTCAAAAAAAAGAGTCTGTATAATGATAAAAATGATGATTTCCACATTTCTGCAATGACTGCAGTGAAAGACAGACCAAGTAGCTCTTTGAAAGATATTTTGTCGTAAATCATCAAATGATCTGTAACTACCAACCAATACTTTAATGACTGCATATCCATTTTGAAGAATGCTGTAAACAAGAAAAAAAATGACAAACGCATGTAAACTAGAAAAGAAAAAAAGACAAACGTGTTGATTTAACTAAAAATTTTGACCACAGAATTCCAAAAAATGAAATTCACTTTACATACAACGCGACATTAATTTTTGTTTCCTTATCACAATAAGATTTGCAACCGATACCTGGATCAAGCAAAAGATCTAATGTAGCTTTTCGCCATACTGGTCGCATATAATTAAAAGTACTCATAGAAGCTAATAATTGAGAACTTGCAAGAAAGAACCGAGCATTTCGAGCACTAAATTCATGTTGATTTAACAATGAAGGTTCAAAATTTGACCATCAAATTCAAAAAAATGAAATTTACTTTACATATAGAGCGGCATTAATTTACAGCCAATTCTATATATCACACAAAGTGTGATGTGATTTCACATTACAATTCTGACTTCCTTCAGTTACTAACAGAAAAATAACTACTAAAAGCTTTGGATAAAAACGAATGAGAGCAATCGTGATGTATAAAACAACTCAGTAATGCGTATAGTACCATAATTGCAACAACATTTCAGTACAATTTTAAGAAAATAAAAATTAACTTTTTAGCTTTCAGATACGGTAAAGTGTTATTCCAAACAGCATGAAGCATTGGCAATAATCTTTCTTTATCTTCGCTTCTATATATCGAATCAATAAGTTCGGCCAAATGCTAAAAAGAAAAATTTCTACATTGAGTTTTTATAAATTTAAACTCAGATATATTGTTATAGTAAGATTAGAAAGTCAATTTAAACGATTAATCAAGGAACTTTTGATATGATGGTCTGTTATGTGAACCACTGAATAAAAGATTGATATATTCGAAAATTTAATTGATTCTAAGTCATCCACGACATCAAGATACGAGAATTTTGCCAGCCAATTTTAGATATGAACACAAAAACGCAAGAAATGATATTTTCATAGAACATATATTTAGAAGAAAATGAAATTTTAACCTCAGCAAGAAGCACTAGAGCTTGAGTACTGTGAGCAGGATCTCGTTTTGAACTATTTGGATCCTTCAAACTTGAGCGCATATTTGATGTACTGCGTCTATCGGCAGTTACGTTCGAAGTACCATGAGATGATAGCTGCGTAGCGGTGTCAAAATTGGGAATTCTAAACATTAACTAATCTCATATCTTTTTCATCAAAACTATAATGTTAATTTTAAAAATATTTGAAAATTTTTAGCCTTTTGTTCATGATTGATTTTTGATTTACCAATATGATATGATACTACTTTACTCGCTAGATAACCTTGATGGAGCCAAAGAAGATGTAGAGCCACGCAAAGAGTTGTTCTCTGAAGCAGCTAATGATGTTGGCGCAGTGGAAAATTCAATTACTGGGGATGTTTCTTGCGATTTTTGCGCTAGAACAAATTAAAAACTAGAAGAGAAATTTATCTCATGGCGTAAAAAATATACCGAAAAAAGAATTGTAAAGAATAAGAAAAAAATTTGGAAAGTATAGGATAAATAATAAATAATAATAAATAGATATTTTCGTAATTTTAAACACGACAAATGGAGATATCTGAAAATCTTCTCATCTTATCTACATATTTTTTTCAAAATAAAGCACAAGATTCAGTAAAATCAGTATCACAAACTCGATGAATCGTGTTTGACGACCAATGTTCGTTTCAACCATGTAGTTTGCTCGAGTTGCCAACCAACAATGACGTTCATAGCTTCAGTAAGTTTCTGACAAGCATCTTGGACAGCACGCGACATTTGCTTATCTTCGACAATGACTGCACTTCCAGCAAGCTGCACAAAATCCACAAGAATGCTAAAATTGCTAAGTGAATAAATTTTACTGAACAATTTTCACAGAGCACTGAAATTCCTTGATGCTTTAAACCGAAATTGATGAAATACTGACATAAACTGAATGAAAACGGCTTTCGGTGGGAGCGATATGACTGATGATTCCGTAAAAAGTGCTTGTAATGACGGCCAGCAATTGCGTAACGCAGATGACGGACTAGTTCGAACGCAGCCGTGTAGCATTTCAAGTAACGCTAACTCAGTTGGAAAAGCATTTTGCTACAATCAGTTTAAATTAAGGGGTTAAAAAATTCAATTTTCTTAAAATGTGATCATATTTTGGAAACGAATTAAGTCCAAAATTTGAAAATCCTATACTGAAAAATGAAAATTTGAAATAAATAAAACACCTTTTCTGATGTCGCACCAGACTTTATAATTTTCCAGGTACTTTCCTTTAAGGCTTCAGCAACAGTAGAAATAAGATTTTCAAATGGAAGAATTTTCAAATTTAGTAAAAGATCAGCGATATCCAACTGTGCTTGTGAATAAACGAATGATGACTAAAATTTGTATGTAAATAAGGATCTAAAGAAAAAATTGACAATTCATATCCTATAATACTTTTGCAATCACTTTTGATCTTTTATTTTACTTTTCTCAAAACTACATTATTGTCAGATACTAATATTACATATTAATAACACTTTTACATATTTATAATATTTATCACTGTTATCATGATTGTCATTCCTATCAAAAAACTCTTGTTTTGAGCTCACTAGTGTTGTATTTAAATTGAATAAATCACCAATTCTTCATGAGACGGAAAAATGCTCTAACCTGGTGGTCAGCATCCATGCGTATAACGAGCTGTTTTTGAGATGTTGGAGAGCTTCGGGTCATCCACACTAAAGCAAGCGATGATAAAAATGACTGCTGATGGTGCTGTGCAATTGGTGAAAGTAAATCAAGCATCAGACGACGAATAGTCTGAAAGTTTAATAATAGAATTCTGTATCTCAATTAAATGAGGCAGTAACAAGATTCTTCATTTCTTAAGATTAAAAAGACTTTTGACACTGTTGCAGATCAATACAATGGTGACCCGATTTTCATTTCTCAAGAAGTTTATGAAACCAAGCAATAAAGAATATAGATTTAAAGTAGACTACCGCCTGATTTCCGATTGGTAGATTTGGTTCCCCTTTTCGTAACTGTGTCCAAACGTCACACAATGTTGCTAGAGCGTGAGGAAAAGCAGTCAACATATCCGTCCGTGCTTGCTTCCAGATCCCATCAGCTGTGAGATCAGTCAGCTTATTGAGCACTGCATTTGAGGGCTAAAAATTATGTTCTAATTATCAAATATTGCTTTTGAACATGACATTCTTTTAATACAATGTATTCAACATTTATTTCATGTAATTATCAAGCCTCGATTTAAACTGCTCCAATCTCCTTCATTAGATTTTAGTAAGCAGAAGTTCTATTTCTCAATAAAAACATCAGAGCTGCGTAAAAAACGAAAATAACTCAAATAAACATCACTAAAAATATACATAGCTCTCAATCAATACGACGATTCTTATTCATTCTCTTATTTCTCATTCATTCTTTTAACTGGAGTTCGTGAGCATTTTTCACACCACCAACTAAATCATAGATTATAAGTTAAACACGAAATTACGAAACATTGATTTGTATGCAACGAGAAGACTTTACCACGTTAGTACTGTCGTTGAAAGAGAATACTTTGACAAGATTAGAAATAAGTTCAGTAGCACCCCTTGTACCTGGTATTGCATTCATTACTGACGATGCCAATGATGTACTATTTACTGTCACATTCTAAAAGCTATTAATACAATATGTCAGTAACGAAAATGCCCCATGAGCAAAATGAGCTCTGTGAATCTAGTTACGACATCATAAATGAAAGACATTAGTAATAAAGTTATTGCTCATGAATATTAAATTCTTTTGTATCAGTATTAGATAGACAGGAACATTTCCATCCGAAACCGAATATTCGGTTTAAGATAGTAAACTCTTTCACATGAACCTGCGAAGATTGATGAACATTAGACACTGCTGAAGTAACACCACTTTGAGAAGTATTATCAATAAGGCAGTAATAGAAAAACATGTTCAACGTCTCCAGTACCTGTTAAATACCTTTTTGAAAAGTGTATTGATAATCTAAATGATTTTTATAACAATATTTCGTACTTTCCAGGACAATAATTCTATTTCAGACTTTATATCAAGTATTATCAAAGCTAGACCTTTTACAAGCTGCATTTTATGTACTTTATTTTTAATCGCGATTTTAAGTTGATGTATTTATTATTTACTTTTTAATAAAATGTCAAAAAGTAAATGCTTAAAAAGAATTTTAAATGACGTGATCAAAAATAAAGAAATGGAGTGAAAAGAACATTTGTAAAAAAAATTTCCATAACATAAAAACACTCACTCCAATGACATAGTTAGTAGGATAATCGGTATCATCGAAGCTATTTCGAAGATCGACAACATTTGAATTGGAATGAGCAATGAATGTTTTTTCGTCTCTATTACAATAAGCTGCATTTACAGCAGTTTCAAGATTTTTACATAGCTGCTCAACAATATGCACAGAAAATGTAGATAATGATCTAAAATATCATATTTCTTTTTTACGATAAAAATGCAAAGCTTTAATCAAGATCTAGTTTAGAATCTGAAAAAATCAATTTCTTAAGAAAGCATTGTATAATGTTACACGTAGTCATTAACTGAGTAATATGTTACATCTTATTTCAGCTGTTGTCATTGAAAATATGAAATCTTATTTTACTATTTTGTAGCATAAAAAATTATTACAAACCTGTCAAGAAATGGTAATATTCGTACAATAAAGGCAAGCCACTGTTCTTGATGTGGTGAATGTTTTTTGAGAGCATTCAGAACAGTCAGCAAGAACATTCGTAACTCGACTATACCGACATGTGGCTCTCGAAGTGTCGCACGATGCTGCGGGGAATTGTAAATTTGATGATTTATAGATAAGTTGTCAAGATATATACCATCAACATTCTAAACATACGGCAAAATTAAAAATATTTTTTGAGTTACGAAAAGTGATGTTGTTCACTAATTTTGACTAGCAAATAAATTATTCGTTCTTTCGACTTTAATTTATCGTTCCTACTCCGATTTCCGTGTCAGTCATTAAGAAAATTTGGACAATAAAATGCTTATTAAACAATTAAATCCCATTAAGAAGCTCACGATATATAACTCACAATAGGATTCACAAAGTTGAAATGAAAGTCTAGAGTCTTTTAAAAAATCAAAAGCATTAAGCATTTTACTTGATCCGTGAAGTTCTGAAACCCGTTTCTTATCACCAGTTCTAGCTGTATCACAGTAGCAGTTAAATCAAGCAAAGAGTCTTGATAAACAATTAATAAATCATGAAAATCCTTATTACATGTTGTAGTGCCATCATTGAATTCCAATATATCTATTGATAATGGAACTCTGGAAGAAACTAAATAAAAAATCTTTCAACACAAAATTAATTTAGAATTGTTGGTAAATGAAATAAGCAAAAATAATTATAGCAAGGATGCAATTAACACTGCTCTTCCAAAACTGAAAGTTTCAGAATAAAAACATACATTTCAGCATTATTGTGCTGTCGAACATTATGAACAGAGGTTAAAAGTGAATGCAACAAGCATTTCTGAAGCTTGGAACGCTGCAAAATACCATGGATATAAGCAACCAAACCTCGCGATTGGTTCTCCTGAATCATAGCATTCAATCCCAACATCAATTCTGTGAGAAAATCTAATACGGCTATCTGAAAACTAGTTTCGGAATAAATATATTTTCGATAAATAGCTGGTCCGATTTCCAAAGTCTTGCAATCTACATACACAGCACTTGTAATCTATAAAAAATAATTTCACATTTTGATACTTAATTTTTTAATTAAAACTTTTTCATTTTAAATAACGGAAATATATATCACTTCCAAATATGCCGAAAGACAAACCTTACACTTCCAGCTACTGCGCAAATCGAAAATGGAAACAGCAGAAATGGGAGAATTCACGAAGTAAGAGCGGAGGAAATGTAACGAAATCTATAAATCGAAATGACTCTGAAGTGATATTTCGAAAAATCAACTTTCAGATATTAAAAAAAATACAGATTTGCTTGATTCTGAGTGCTTGCCAAGCTAAGTTGACCAAAAATGAATTCTAAAAATCTGCATTACGAACTAACTGAAATTGTTAATACAAATAATTGTAAGTGTATTAAATACAAAAATTGTAAAATGCAGAAATATTTTCTTATAAAAAGGATTTACTGTCATGAAAAGTTCGAGAAAATTATAATTTTTGTATTTAAGTGAATCCGTTCCGCTTGTACAATCCGATTCAGGAGCCCAGAAATCTTGCCCCAGTATGGAACGAATGTGACGAGATAATAAATCAATTACTTGTCCAGATGAATTAGACGATGATTTAGGAAGGGAAGCAGTTCCACATGAGACCATGCATCTGAAAACGCTTTCATGTTATCCAGTAGGCAGCATCATACCAACACTTCCGAAATTTGTAAACATATTTAATTACCTGACTGAAACAATCTAATATTTTCAAGCATCACCATTTACCTGATAAAAAGCCTAGGGGTTAGGAAACCAAATCTTGTACGCATCAAAGCAATTAACATTCGAAATACTTTTTCAGAACGCGCTAAATCAACAGTTTGCCCACTTTCTGTATATAACAACATATGTGCATGTAATTCATGACATAAAGGTTGCACCTCATCACCAGTTGCTTCTAATCGAGGCAATTCTGATGTGTCAAATAATCTGAAATTATATTTTGAAACTGCATTTCAAAATTAATAAAATGTATTCTTCAACATTAAAAAATGTGATTTTGTAACATGACATTATCAAGACAAATCGCACTTGAGCTCTTGTGCTGACATCGTAAATATGCTTTCTTGTAACGAGTCTTGTCTTCTATGGCCTCTGAAACGCTTCGTGGTTTCAGAAACCAACAAACCATTTTCAGGAGATTTCCATAATGAAACTATAGGATTTGACTGTGACTCCTTAGTCCTTTCTTCAGGTACCTCCATGGTTGAGCTAAAATTAAATTCATATGAAAATCTATTGCATGAAAGCACACAAGAAAGAAGGTTCATAGAAGCCCACTGAATTCTATACGACTTACACAAATAACGATGCAGAATCTCGAGCAATACGCTTTTTAATTTTCACTCTTAACAACAGCTTTTTTATTACAAATAATTTTAACCAGAAACTAACAAGTCACTATATGATGGAAGAAGAAATGGAACCTAGATAACTCGTTTTCACTCGTATCACTCTTAATACCGCTTGTATCACTGACTAGAGTGGTATGAATATGAGAACATAACCGTTCACCAGCAAAACATGCTTGTGCTTCGATTTCACTTTCTTCTTGTGCACAAATGCAATCAAGGATATACTGCAGAACTTCTATCACATCATGGTTTAAAGAATCCAATGATGCAGTTTCAACAGAATCCTGAAACGACGATAGCTCAATACCTCAAATTTTGCAATGCTCTTTTGAAAATAATAGCAAATACTAAACAAAGCCCCAATTATGCAGTGTGCTCCTTGAAAAATAATATAATAAAACCATGGAATTTGTTGGTAGCTCACAACTTATTTTATATCATTACTTTTCTACCACTAGAAATACCTAGGTTTTATAAATCCGTTAAGAGTAAAATTATATTTGCAAAATTTCATGCAAATAGAAGACATTCATATGAAAAAAGGAATATTTGCTTAACGAAATTAAAAAATTATCAAACCTAAGTGAAATAGGAGTATTTCGGGAGCACTTAAACAAGCACCGAAATTAATATTAAAAAACTTGAAGTAAACTTTGTGTTTGAATTTAACTTGATGATTTCTATAATACCTTCGAGAATATTCTTGAAAAAAGTTTTCAGATTACATACATTATCATCATCATCGAAAATTGGTATATCAGAAACAGTTCTGCGATGAGTTTTCTGTACAGAACTTGAAACATTTAAATCAACTGTTGCACTGTTTTCATTTCCTTCTTGTAATAAACGATTCCGTAATTCTGTCAACCATAATGGATATCTAAAAAGTATTCCCAATAAATGCTTTAAAAATACAGCAAGAAAGCACTATAAACACAAAAAACCAAGAAAATTAATTCAAACCTATCGATACACTGAAAAGCTTGAAAAAATTCAAACGATTTTTTGGAATAAGGGACGAACTCTCCACTCCTTAACCGCTCGAATGCCACAGAAATTTCATATAAGTGCCGCTTCGCTTCACTGGAAACTGCAACCGAAACATCCTCACATAAATGATGTAAAGATTGATGCCCGCTTTCCGTCAACAATGTTATAGAACATATTCCAGATGGCATAGAAGAAAGCTTCAAAGATTAAAAATTTCAATTCGGCAAAAACACTATCTTTTAATGAAATTTAATACAAATGTCTTAACACATATTTTTCCTTTTATAAAAACGCTCATTATTAAGTTGCTGTGAAGAACAGAAAATCACCACAGAATTTTATCAAAAAGTGTCGACTTCAAAATTATTTTATGGGCTTTTTTTTACAACATAGCTTATAATGAATCCATAAAAACTCATATCGAAAACAAACTTTTTCTTTATTCATTCTGCTTTGCATATTTAGGTACTGAATGGAAACGCGAGAAACACTCGGGTTTAGAAGCATGGTAGCCCACATCTGAAAGTTTCGATGAAATATTTCGTTTCTGAAATCTTTTGCATCTTTGACAGAATCATTTATAAATACCATGTGAGCATACAATCAAATTTCCAGGCATAGAATATAAGTCTCACATGCTTTGTACAATAAGATAAAATTTATGTTAATTATAGTACTAACACCTATGAATAAAATTTTAAATAAGCAAAGCAATAAGAAAACAATTCACTCTAAGATAATCAACGTTTAAAAATTTGGAATAAAATTTGAAATTAAGTGCAATCAAATAAAATCATACACACTTGTAAGATATGAGGTAAATCTGAATGCTGTGCACAATCACTAAACCAGGAGGCCGAAATGTTACGTAGTTCTAGTTTGTCGTAGCCTACTGCATCATCTGACAGGAAACTGAGCAAAAGCATGACAACTCTGCAAAAAGCTGTCACTGGAAATATTTCTAATTTCATTCATATGAATGGCTGAAATTCAAATAATTATAAATCTACAATAACGAAAAATAAAAATGAGTTTATGCAATCTTGCTATTGTTTTTCTGTGATTTATTCATTGCTGTTCGAACGGATTTCATGCTCAAATCACTTCAACAGCATTTAAGAAAGGAATTAGAAAGAGTAGACAGTAAACCTGTTGAATGGTTTAGGTGATAAACCAAGGCAAAGTTCCTCAGCTGAAGAAGGCCGATTTAACATCCACAAGGTTCGAAACTTTTTAGCAGCAGAACAACTCAAATTCTGAAGAAATTAAAACAATGCTTTGTAAAGTAAGAATAAAAATTTTCCGAGCATTTAATACGCAAGCATACTTTTAATTCAAAAGCATACTCGATTTATGCTTGTCAAATTTCCAACAATCAAATCTTCAACATCACTACTAGGATCAGATGGTTTCCGAGAATGAAGTAAATTGAGCAATCTACTAATTGTTGAGTAATAACATGCTTTATTATTATCATCAAGATATGACCACAAAATTGCAGCAGCTTTCTGAAAAAACATTTACTTTAAAAGAAGCCAAAAATTCTACTGAAATTTAACTATCATCATTGAAATTTCATTTATTGTTTCCGCACATCAAATCTGTGATTAAATCATCAAATGTCGCATCTGTATGCAAAATACAGATCTAATGTCATCTGTTTAACAGATTAAAGTAGATGTCCATTATAATAAAAAGAATTTACCTTGAAAATGCCATCATTATCCAAATGTTGCAAATCACTTTGAGAAATTAAAGGCTTTAATAAAATTGTGGTCGTTTTCTTCAAATCACTGAAATTTCCAAAATCCCGTTTCTGACCACATTCATTTTCATACTTTTTCGAAGCATTAAAAATTTCTAGGCTTGAATAAGCAGAATTTTCAAGAAGCAAATAATTAAGAATAGTTTTTAAAGTAATCTTTTATTTAATAAATTTTACTTTTTTTGACGCCGTGACACTGCTGCATGTTGTTCAGCTACAGAAATGCTTCTGACATAAACATACATCACCAGATCCAAAGCATCCGCACGAGCATACAAATCTGTTACTTCCGATTTTGCAGTGCAATGACCTATTCACGAAATGTATTAATTAATAATAAGGGACTCAAAATTATTTCTTAAAGTGTAAATATTTTTAAGAATTATGATGAAAAAATAGTGGATTAAATAGCAAATGGCATGAACAAATAAATTTCTCGAAAAATTTTATAGAGACTTATAGAAACAAGAGTTTAACCCAAAATAAAATAAAACATAACAATCTTTACCTTCATATTTTATGGAAGCATCCCATTCGTCCAGTGAAAGTATATTTAACAAAGAATTCAACCAAACTGGATAGTTATTCCAAACATGCCGCTTTCGATGTTTTATTTCTATAAGCTATGTTGCTGAAGAAATATAATCCCGTAAAACGACACGTCAACTGCCGAAAAAGTTCATGAACGAGCACAATCATTACATTTCGGAAATACATACCTAGATGTGCAAAGTAAATCTGAAAAACAGGTAACAATTTACCCTTGAGTTCGTGAATTCCCATATCATACAATGGGAAATCTGCGAATTCTTGAATCAAAGCTGAAACTGCATGAAATGCCTGTAGACGTCCGACACTTCGTTCTTTGCAATACCAGTCACAAATCTGTGCCAGAATTCTTTGACAACCACTCAAACACTTTTCTACTCTCCACTGTTCTTAAACAGGAAACATTTTTTTGTGGATTAAATACAATCAATTTTTTCATTCTCCATGAAAGTTTAATTTTAACATATGTTGAATTTCAGATGTGCAATCAGAAATTTGTTTTCTACGCATTTTGTTCATATTATTGACGAGCGTCCTCAAGTTCTAAGAAATACTAAGTTTTACACCTTTGAAGACTTCGTATTTTATAAACACACTCCACAATACATTTTTTAAACCGTATAATATGATAGGAATAGTGACACAACCTTTAATGGCACCTCCTTCAACAGATGGCTTTTCTGTAGGACCGAGTTCTTCACAACGTACGATTTCGTGTACTTCACCGCGTTTCCGTGTCACAACTGCAATCTCAACTATAAACGTTAAGTTGAAATCAAATGAAAATATATAAGCACAAAAACGTAGGGTCACATGGAGCACATTACATCAAATAATTGACTATCAATAATTATTCAAATAAAATTAAATATCAGATTAATATTATTTTAGTCTATCAATATTACAAATACGGTTCGAAGAAAAAGCACTCTGATTAATTATTAGAATAATAAGTTTTGTTGAAATCGAAGCTTAAACTGTATGAAATGCATTAATCTAAAAGAATATTTCAAAGAATTTTAGCAACATAATAGTAATTAACCTCCAGCTTCCATAACAACAGCACTTTGATTTACTTCACTCAAAATTGCTTTTGCGACAATAAGAAGTCGCACAAGTAACTGGTGATCAAGTGAAGCAACATTTCTTTCAGCCACTACAGTAAGGATTGATGATAGCAACTGCGGTAAATACCGCTCTCGAATATCACCATGGGAATCCAACTCTATTGTAGTAAGGCAAAACAATGTTACCTGAGAGGTAAAATTTATTGCAAATTTTTAGTATTAATGCATTTTAAGCCTGAAATACCCAGCAGTTGCAAGATTCAAATTTCGCTGACTGCAAACGATTTAAATTCTCAGCAACTTTTGCAGTCAAATCACAAATATACCAAAAAAACATAATTTTAAATCCAAATCATTTCTTCAAAACCGAAAATCAAGTTCAGTAAAGACAGGTGTGAATTAGAACCTTTGGAAAATTTGTTAATTCTCGAACTGTTCGCCTTTCCTCTTCTTCTTCCAACATTTTTAATTCATTTGTTAACAAATTTGGATCCATGCCACTTTGTTCTTTTGATTTCTGCTGCATTAATCTAAAGGATTTCTGCTGTACTGATTTAAAAGGAAATTGAAAATATGGAGAAATCGGAAAAAAGTGATCAAATTAATATTATTAAAAAAAGTGAATCGTGTTTTACTTCCACATCTGTATCAGTCTTGCCTTGAACCAATATACTTGAGCAAAAAAAAATATAATTGGATAAACAGATAGTAATGAACTAACTTTATGAGTACTTTAGAGCTTTTCCAAACTGATTAGCAAGGTGCAGATTAAATGAAACAAAAAAAATCTTACAATTTCAACTTTCGTTCTAAAAAGTCCCAAATGAATCCGACGTCTAACGAATTCATCAGTAAATTTATCGTTTTCCGGAATTCTTCCAACCGGAAAGACTGAAATATCAAACGTTAATTCGACAAAGTTTAATTTTTTAAGGATTTTAATGAAAAAATTGAAAACGGTCCAGTATCAAGCTGTTCATTAGCAACAGACAGTCTAGCAACAGCAGAATCGCCAGCACCATTTAAGAGCCATCGATATAAAGGTCCATTTAAGCTAGTGTCTGCAGATGGAAGAATTCAAAGTGCAGATCGATGTATACCTGCTCAGCTGTATTGTCCCCAAATGCTGAAATCGCACTAAATCGTGACTGTCGTGACACAACAGAGCATTTACTGGTGACGCTTGTGCGGCGATTCTGTTCATGGTTTGTTTCCCTTTGACTCGAAACTTTTTTTATTCTACCCAATTTCTTTTCTTCCTACAACAAATGCACCACAGTGATGATCTTTTGCTATCAAAATTTTAAAGATCTGTAAAAACTTAAGTGATAAATTAGTCCTAACCTCTACTAAAAATGATTCCAATCGTTTATCATATTCAGAAGCTGCCTCAAGTAAAATTAAAAGCGTTTCTTCAAGTATAAGAGAACCCAATTCAGGACGGTCCATGAAATACAACAGTAAACGCGCAACGCGTACTTCTGTATACTGAATTTGATGTTCCTGAGAAAATAATCAGATTCCTTCATGAGAATCAACAAGGCTTTACGGACAGTATAAAGTAAGAATTGCGTAAATTATGGCTCCATACACAGTTGATATCAAATTAGCATAACTTTTACTTATAATGCTTTTTTTAAACAGTTTTATTGTAAACTACTGATCCATGTTCTAAACTGAAATATGTTTGACGATAATTCATGTACCTTCGTGCCATCCCATGAGGCATTACCACTTGTGACTTCAACTGTATCCAATTTTAAATACTCCTCGACTGCTTTTTTTGCGATCGGCAAGGCATAAGTGCTTAAAGAATCTCTAATTCAGACTTAATTTAATCTCCCGAACAATTAAATCATCTACAACTTTATTTTTAAATGCGAACTCAGAAAAAGTCTGATGATGATATTTTGCACAAAAAAGTTTTAATAATAAACAAGAGCAGAAATATGAGTATGAACTGTACGTGAAAAAAGTAGTGTCAAGCTGTTCATCCACTCCAGCAATAGGCAAACCAGCAACTGCAGAATCACCAACACGATTTAAGAGCCACTGATATAAACGTCTATTCAAGCTCATGTCTCGTCGAAGCACCAAAAAAAGGCAACGTCTTAGGAGCTAAAAACTGTTTCTGTTAAAACGAAATGAAATAAATTACAAAAAATCAACGATAAATATTTATTTCTAGAGCGATACAGCACTTTTTGATGTAGTTACTAATCATCGTTTTAAAGCCCTTTACAAAATTATGAATTTCAAAAACCTAATGATTTTGATCAAATTTTTATGTTGTGTCATAAAGCGCTCTATTTACCTGAACAAAGTCCTCCCTCACGAGATGATCAGAATTAAGCGGAAAAGCTGAACACAAAAAATCTAATAAATGACGCTGAACTAAAGTCGAACCATCATCATCTGCTGCTGCACAAAGGGCCGCAATCTAAAGAACGATAAAAACCGAAAATCGAAAAAGATAAAGTTAACAACAAATAAGGTCAAAATTGTTGAAAAATATATTTTTCAGATAATTCCCTGCAAATTCTGAAGGAAAATAAGAAGATGAAATGAAGCACCATATGATCGATGTTATTCCCCATAATGTACTCTTGATCATGCATACTTTTTCGGCGATTAAACTTGGCATTTACATATGTTAATGCTGGAAGACGTACAGATGGTGACCCAAGCACTGCTTCCCAAAGACATGCAAAGTATACTTCTGAACCGACACTATCCTGCACTTGATCCAAGAGACAAAATGATCTGAATGAAGTGCACAAACAAAGATATGGAAAAGAAGCAAAAAGAAAATAAAGCTTGAATCAAAGGGTCAGTTTACTTGTTCTGATTCTGATGAAGAATTTGTAAATAATGATGTAACAAACCTATCGTAGAATTCTGTTCCTTCTTCTAAGCCCAGTAAAACACCAGTAATAAAACCTGGAAGCGCAGGTTTTAGCTCTACACCTAATGGCAGGAGATATTGCTCAAAAATATTCAGCAATTCCAATTTCACCTTAAAAGAGTTAAAACAGCATAGTCAAAATGCAACAATGTACAAGAAAATGATGAAGTGGGAGATGAAAAAAAGTTTTACTAATTGGTCAATTACTTTTAAAAAATGTGAATAATTTAATTCTATACAATTACTGAGATTTAAATCAAACAGCTGCAAAATTTTTTAGAACTAATTTAAAACTAATATTCCAATTTTAGTTTCAGAACATGCTGTATTTCAATTTCAAATAAAATCAAACCTTTATTCCACAGTGATCCATCAAAGGGAATAATCCAACGGCAAAAAGATACAACAAACGTGGAAGGTCTTTCCGACCAAGAATATCGAACAACTGTCGATATGTTTCCAAAGCTTTAAGATGTACACCGTGGGGTAAGGCTGGATGTAAGCACTGAGAAAGACGTTTTGCTACAGTAACTGGTTTAGGAATATCACAGAACTTTGAATTTGCATGAAACACCTGAAATTTTTAAAATCAAAATAACCCTTGCATGTTGTCTAATCCAATTATCATTTTTTGACTACAATTCATTGAATAAAACAAAATGAAATTTTTCCTCACTCGGCTAAGTTTCGCGAGTGCTGAGATCAGATCAGCCCACTCATTAGTAGCTTCAAAAGCTTTCAATGCTTTATCGACTGCAGCAACATACGCCCGATATTTACTGTTACTTATAAGCGAAGCAGCTTGGGCTGCATTTGCAGCTGCATCTATGCTGCCAACCAATACTGAGGACATCTGTAAAAATGTTGTTATTTCCCATATATTTAACATGCATGAGTGAAAAAGTTATAAACGTAGTATGTACACCTCAAACACAAGTATAAAAGCTTTAATTTATGGAAAATTATTTAGGAATATTTGGTTTTAGCACAAACATTACTTTACGAATTTAATTCATAGAAACAGGTTTTTGATCAATTACTAAGCCAATAAACAATTTTCAGCAATTATTGATATAATCTACCCTTTACTATTAGTTTTCGAACTTACTCTGTATTCAAATTTCCATTTTAAATAAACATTATAGATGACAACGAGAATGATAAATGTTGGATTACTAAGTATTACAAATGCTTTACATAAAAGAGACCTGAAGTAATGTGAATTTTATTCTATTAAAACTCTGATTAAAATTTCGTTTCACAAAAATTCTTGGCGACAGACATTATTCAATGATTGCATTTAGAGTCCTTTGTTGCTGAACAAAATAACTGAGCATTACTGACTTTAAATATTATTTCATTTTACATATTTTAAAAGTCAAACAAAGAGAAATTGAAACTTTATTCAGTTCACAAAATTCAAAAGGTATTAACTTTTTCTTTGACAAAATCCTTCTGTAAAACATAGTCAATATGAAAATTATGAAGAGGTTCATTGAAATGCATGCTAAATACTCCATCTCACAGAATTTATTATTAAATATAATCAATTAAATATAAAACAAGAATATATGCATCAGTGGAAAAGTAAATAAGAGACATTTAAAAATTTTAAATTTTGACAATACAAGCAACAATAACAAGTCTGTCTTTGTCATGTATCACTTGCGTCTTAATAATAATTATAGTAAATTGCTTCCTTTCTAAATAAATGAAAAAAGATGTAAGAGTAAAGAGCAAAATGACAAGGAGTATATTTTTGGCAAATCAAAAACAAACGCAATTTATTTATACCTACAGAATTTTCAGCAACAATTTACAAGTTACAGCTGAAATTTATCGAGACATTCAAGCTTTCGATGCTTTAAATAAATAATTGTAATTTTAACTAAGGTAATTTAGAATACTTTCTATGCTATCTTTATCCACAATATTTGTTATATTCATAAAAGCAATCAGCTTTTGGCCTGCACCTTACACTACACACTTAAATGTTTTCTACTCGAATTTCTTATATGAATTTGCAATATTTTGCAATTAAAAACTTTAAATTGTAAAAGTTTTTGATTGCAAAAGATTGTAAATTCATTTAAAAGATTAAAGAAAAAGTCGAAAGAAGATTTTATGAGCTGAAATAAGCATGCAAATAAAGAAAAACTTTGAAGAAATAAGATATAGATCTTTAGCATTACCATAAACTTAAACATATCAAATTAAGAGATTTTTATAACTGCCACAATAAATTTATGACCAAAAACAAGAATATACCTGCTTGCGAGCCAAAGCTCCTCGATAATGGAACAGAAACCTCGATCTTTTGATCCTATCTTTCGAGTATGGTGAAATGGTTCGAATGTACTGAAATGATTTTAAAAATTGATAAAATTCAATAAATTATATGAAATTAGAATTTTCTAAAAATAAAACAATCATTCACTACAATAAAAATACGGTCATATAAAATAAGCAATAAAAATCCTGAAAAGAATACCAAATATGCCCACTGCAATTAATTCTCATGACAAAGAATAACTAGCTGCAGCAATTTTTCAATATTTCTAAAATATCTGTCATCTATGCTCTGACTTCATGTTCTTGTCTAGAATTTTTCCCATAGTGAACTCTTCAAACTAACAATCTTCACCAGTTTTTCCTTCTCTTTAAAGGAAACTTGCATTGAATTGACTATTTAGAGTGAACGTTTTTAATTTCTGCATAAAATTCAATCTTTTGCAAAATGCATGATTTTTTCAGTGTTTTTTTGTATATTCATAATTTGACAAGGTTATGATCTTTTATTTCCTCTTAAGGAGTACATTCCTACACACAGTTTTGTGTCAATCTCTACAGTCTGAATAATCAACCCAAATAAATGCTCCAACTCCGATATAAAGGGAACATTGAGACTGAAATACAAAAATTACTTCCACCTTGTTAAACCTTATTTTCACATGTATCCAAACCAAAATTTTCTAATTAAATTGTGCATTTAGACATCAATTTTGAAATCATAAATTAAAAAACAGGTAAGCAATTTTATTGAAAAAATTACAAGTTCAAGCTATGAGCTGTAAAGAATAGATATGTAAATCATGCAAAAGCATATACTTCCATAAACCCAGTTCGTTTGCCAAATCTTAGTGCATGGAAAATTTTTGATATAAAGACATGGAAAAGTTATATTTTAATGATAAAATTTTGATCATAAAAAGAATTAAAATGTATTTTTATATTTTTCACTACAAAACTAAGCTTTTGGAGGATTATAAAGCACTTATATCTATTCAAACTACCAGCAAACTCTAATTAATTTCAGTCACAACACGGAAGGAAGTTATTACTAAATTTTATTTGAGATATTTATGTTACGTTTGATATTCATGCGTGAATTAAAAAATAATACTGAAATTTTGATGGAACATTTATTTTTTGGAGATGAAATTAATATTTTCCGGCTCTTATTCATATAACTATCATAAGTTTTCGTATAATACTGATAATTCTAACAATCAATAACAATTCTGAGATTAAATCTGAGTCAGCACAAGAATAAATTCCGAAACTACGTACCATATTAGTTCAACAAACATGAGGAAAATCAGTTGAGAACGATTTTTAATCCGATTAAGGGCTCATATTTTAAATACAAGCTTTCTAAATTTGTAAATATATCACGATATCAAAATGTCGAAAATATTACTGAAATGTTGGAATGAACTCAGAGTATACAAATATTTAAAGCACCACAGTTCATGCATCTATTTCATGGACACATCTGTTTCACGAAACCTTTGACGGTCTGTTAAATATTGTCATGACATGTGATTTTGAAATGCATTTCATGGATTATCAATTCAGGATTAGTCGAATTTCAGTTTAATCATTCATGAAGTCTAAGCTTTATCAGTGTTTACACTTGACATATTTTATCTGCTTTCTTCATCTAAGAAAAATTACAATTTGAATTTTTCTGTCATTGCATAATTTTGCATAACTTTTGCATAATTTAATACTTAAAGTATAATCAGTTTTAGAAGCAAAATAGAAAACAAAAAAGCTTTGTGTTATTTAAATGTTAAAAAATTGCTTAATCATTACAATTTAATAATAATATTTGCATATTTAAATTTCAGCAGCGATTTTTGCCCATCTTTCCCGAACAATTGTGCAAACAAATAAATTGGAGGGAAAATAAGCATACCCAAAAAAAAAAATTTTATTACATGCAATATTTAAACGGTTCTTATAACTTTTGTGCAAACATATTCGTCTCAATCATCTTAGTTTGCAGAGTAAAATGTGTTCATTTTCATTCCAAGAAATGAGAAATATTCCAATGTTAATATTTTTCATTTTAATAATAATTATTCAGCACAATTTTGTGACCAAAAAACGTTACAGTATTTTTCATAAATTAAAAAGTTTATACCATTTATTAAATTGTTATATAACTTACTGAAATAACAATTATGTCAGTTAAATTATTAATTTGAGAAATCGAATACTATGAAGATTATTCTTTATCAAATATTTTCATTACATCAAGTATGTTCTCGGAAAAATTGTAACCAATTACTGCAGAATATTCCCGTTTGCAGCAACGGTTTCTCACGTGAAACATAATTACAAATCATAAAATAGTAAAGAATTAATTGAAATTATAATTTCAAGAAGTACAATTACAATTCACATAGACATCTTTTGATTCACCTAAAAAATTGTCAAAGCTAAGCAATTACATAGTGCGAATTTAAAGTCTAATCATTTTTAATGTTAAGTAATTCAGATATTTAAGCCATAAATTTTATCACATTCAAATATCAGTCAGTACATGATTACTTTTTTGTTTCATTTTAACACGGATATTCATTTCAAAATATATGCTTCTTATTTTACGCTAGACATGTAGTTAATACATATAAAATATAAACTTATAAAAAGATATAATTATTAATATTGACTACCATTACTAAAAATGGATAAGAATTTTGCTTCGGAAGTATAAAGTGTTGTATGGCATAAAATAATCATCACTGATACTGACTGATAAGAGACAACCGTTGCCTATTTTTTATAGTAAGGCGTGAAGGAAAAAGTGGGTGTGCTACTCTTTGCTCTTTGCATTATTTCTAATTGACAAAAATTTTATTTCTTAACATATTAAGCTAAATTTCAAATTATAAAACAAAAATGTTAATTATTTGTTTTTATGAAATTTAGAGCAATTTTTTAATTATTTAATAATTTTTTAGCAATATGCAAAGTAATGTAATAGAAAAACATTGGGGTTGTGCAAGCAATTACTACTCACTCACAGTTTAACAATTTGTGAACAATAAATACAAAAATTGAAAAAAAGTAAAAGTCTTTGCTGTAGCAAAAGCGTTACTCTCAGTTACATACATACACACACAATACAAAACTTCAACTGTCGAACAATACAGCTTTTCTGTGTCAAAAATTTTGTCCCATTGTGTTGACTGTGAACAGATAAAGTCTCAAAAATGCATCCTCAGGTGTTATTTATTTTAGAATTTTAATTCTTTTAGCTTTTGCATTTTTGATTATTTTTTTCTTTCATTTTTTTAAGACTTGGTTGCAAAGCAGATTAACTGACTCATATTGGGAATAAATAGTTAAGCATAGCAATAATTAATAACACAATGTGATATTTTAACATTTTAAGATCGATCTGAAATTAGTTTAGTTATATTTGCAACTCACATTAAACTTTTTATAATTACTCAATGTTATTAACAGTTGCAGTGAATACTTCAAAAATATTTGAAACTCTTTACTGAACAATTTTTGCTTCTAATTCTGTTCTCAGACACTTTTTGAATCAAAAAAATGCATTCTTATGCAGAAAATATGTAATACTCAAAATCATAAGATTACTATTTTTTCATTCCGAAATAATTTTCACATTTTTGACCTCAAAATAACAGTATAGTGTAAGTTTCCTAATAAGTTTAACTCTAATTGAGATGAAAATCAATCCATTCTTGAAATTATGACAGTTAAATAAAACTAAACTGGTTATAGAATTATCATTAGTATTTGAATTTCCATTAAAAGTTTGATGAGATTTTTATAGTATTGCAGTAGGTCATTATTAGAGATAAAACGCTAGTAAGTAAAGAAATGACAAAAAAGTGAGTGTAACAGAATCAAAAATAGAAAAGCAATATTTTATTTGGAATGTAAGAATTTTAAAATATTAAATGAACTCTGAGCAATGCATTTTTGTAACAAATCTCAAAATAAATTCACCTTTCTAATTGTTTACTGTTACAAACGTGAGTATTTTTATCTAAATTTGCCTAAATCATGCGTGAAACGTCAAGATACAATAAAAATATTGCGCAAATGAAAATACTTTGAGTTAAATTTGTTCTTCAATTAAAAAGTGATTACATACAATATAAAATAAGTATCGCAAAGAAGGAAATTAGAGCAAAGACAAATATATATCTCTCCAAAACATTAAAAGATTTACTTACTTTCAGGTAGACAAATAAGTAAGTAAACATACGGATTGACCTTACTTCCTGCGCCAACGAAGTGCATTCATACACTCTTATTGTTATTGTTAGCACAGAATTAGTGCTATTCTTAATCAAAGAAATGGGCTTCAGCATTAATAATAAAGATTAATTCAATAATTTTTTATTCTGCTTCGAAGCTAATTCATTTTACGATCTATTTTTTTTAAATAATTTGTTTTAATAATTTTTTTGAGTTCAGAAGAGAGCTTTATACCCCTTTAAAGTATTGTTATTTTAATTAATAAACTTGTGATAAGAGGTCAAGATTTGCAAAATGTGCTATATTCTTACAATATTTTGATTAATTTCCAGCATGACTGATATTCTTTCATATATTTCATTTTTAAATTGTTAATTTTAATAATTTTTGTACAAAAATTTTACTTTAATATAATAAACTTTTACTCAATATTTTCAGTTTTTTTAAAAACTGCTTGTTGAACTAGATCTGAAAAATATGAACTAAGCAAATTTTTTAGAAAAACTGCAGCTTAAATGAAATCAAAATCCAATACATTCAATTTTATTAGTGGTATTGGCATACATTTTCAATGTACTGATGTAAAATATTCATATTTATTGAGCTATTTTATTTTCAAATATTCATAATAAATTTATTTAATTCATTGTAAAAAACTAAGAATAATACGGAATTTCACATCTCACATAATTACTGTGTAAAAATGTTTTAAAATGAGCAGATAGATATAAAAAGTTTTATGTCCAAAATAATGGACCAACCCGCTTCAGTAACTGTTATACTCAAATCCAACAAACAATTATTCATTTGTTTACAAAGCAGATTAATACTAAGAAAAAAAAATAAAGATAGCAAATAACTGAACTGAAAGTAATCAAAAAACGTTCAAAATTAATTTCAAATTTTAATCAAGAAATGTTAGAGAATGCAACAGCTAAAAGTATTATTTTCCATCTTTGGATGACTTTTGATTTTTATTCTAAAATTGAGGTAAAACTTTAAGGAAGAAATATTATGCAAAGGTCAAATGAAGCCCAACTCTTGGAACCATATGGCAATGAACAAAACGACCATTATAAACAGAGGTATACCAACAGCAGCTGCAATCATTCGACCAAATGGAACTAAAATTAAAAAAAATTGAAAACTGAATATTAATTATGCAGTTAAAATTTGAATTTATTGAGTACCAATTATTTTAGGTAACATGAAAAATAACTAATGAATTTAGAAACTAATATGATATGTAAGCAATCTAAACAAAATATACTTTTGTCTTTCTTCAACGATGGCAATTCATTTTCAGAGATTACTTGTTGAGGCACTGATACTAGTACTTCTTTATGAGGTGGTGGCGTACGTGTAACAACCTGATATTCCTGAAATCTTAACGTTAGCTTTAAACATTTAAAATAAATGCTAAATAAATATTGTTTTTATTACTAAACAAGTTTTGATGATAATTTGAGAACGATTTAAAGGTGAGAAAAAGTAAATATTTATTACTACTCACATAACTTTGGCATGAATATTTTCAAAATGTATGCTTAATGCATCGTAAAATTTGTCTTATACGTCAACATTTTCACTGCTAAGAATGATTGAAGCTGCTAATGAGAAAAATGAAGCTTACATTAAGGTAAGTAACAGGTGCAGCACCGGAAATTGGAATAGCATTAAACGTTCGACTATGCGGTCGTTCGTATTTTTCATACGTCTCTTTGGATGTTAAGAAGTCAGACGTTAAAATATCATTCCTAATATAAGATCAAAAAGGCAAATTAGTTGCAAGCATTTTCAGCTTTTTAAAACATTTTAAAGAGTGTTTATTTGAAAATATTAAATAATATTCTATTGGCAGCATAAACCGAAAAGTTTGAATCGCTCATCAAAAGTTCACTTTAGTGATTAGTCAAAGTAATAGTTCAAGAATACAAACATACTTAGATCGCATCTTCAGTCAGCTAGTTACAAATTCCAATTCCATATTGTGAACCTGAAAATACTATAAAAATCTGATTAAATTTAATAAATATTAAATTTATATTTATAAATTTGTTTATGAAATACAGATTATTTACACCCATTTTATACAATTATTGACATTAACAAAATGTACAATTCTGATTCCAAGTACAAAACTAAATGCTTTACTGCTAGTAGTTGATGTTAGCAATCTTGCAGAATGAATTGAATTGGTGTGCACTGATGGATGAAAAAGAGGTGTTTAATAAAAGTGTAAGCTTGACCTGCTTGTGAAAGTTAAGTTCACTTTAAAGATTTGTATGGAATTTATAATTCTGTTTAATGATTATTGACTTATTTAGGTCATACAAAGGTCATTTCAAAAACTGTTAACACTAAAAATAGAAACAGTTAATTTTTGAGCGAAAAAAAATTAATCGATTAAAAAGTGAAAATTATTGCAAATAAAATAGACAGCAGTGAATTCCTTTAAACACAAATGCATTTGCTCAGAAGAAAATATTGAACACAAGAAAGTGATCAACAGGTGATTGATTCTTCCAAAATTGATCAAGGCAGAAATGATTGCAAAAACGATAAAGTTTTTTTCCATGATTGATCAACTAATATATGTATGAGTTATTGATTGATAAGAATCGAATACATTGATAATTGATTAGCAAAATTGGAATTTATGCTTAAACTTTTCAATACTAATCACTTGGCTCAGTTGTTTAGAAACAAGAATCAAAAAAAGAAACTGTAAAAAGCAATTTTAACTACTGCACACTCAAAAGGCCTATTTAATAATAAAATTTTGCATTAATCCTTTTTAACTATTATTCAATGCTAAATTTATGTTTTACAATCGTTTTTTTATGGCTGCTCTTTAATGTAATCGAATATGTATATTTATAGCACATTCAAATAATTATTCGCATCAAAGTATGAATTATCTTTGAAATAAATTTACGTAACTAAGGCGAAAATGACGCTTGGATGTTGCTAAGGAAAGGTCGTTACGCAGCTGAAGTATGATGATTGTGTGCATTGTAATTTAATACTAAAATATATTTATGATATAGATTTGCAAAATGATAATAAATAAAGCAGTCAATGCAGTACTCATTATTTATTTAGAAATATTTCCAGTACTGAAAATGGAAATACAATAAGTACAATATTCTTACAAACTGTAAAATTAATAATGATATTAACATTTTATATTAATTAATACAACAACAATAATAATAGTAATCACAACAATTATACTTATAATCATAATAAAATAAATTTATCATTGAATTATTAAGTTTAATTCAGTGCAAGCATTTGGAAACTTTTTTATAATTACCAATAAATAATTATCAAAAATAATACTAATTATATTACTACTCAAACACAAATGACAAGTGCTTACATAGGCATAAGCAAGCAATCAACAACATCTTTGCAAAATGTTCATTCAGTTGCTCAAGAAGTTGATTTGAAACAAGTTTTAGCAACGATTAGCTTTTTTACCTGTTAAGAATAAAAAATAAATTCTCGCCCTGTCATATGACTTGTATACTTATTATACACGACAAGCAATAATAACAATAACAATAATAATAATAATAATAATAATAATAATAATAATAACAAAGCAAACTTTGGCATCGAAAACAATAACAGCATTATTGCTGCAAAATTTTAGCTCAATTGCATGCGCAAATTATCAAAATATTGCAAGCAACGACAAAATGTTTTTTATCTAATTATAAACGCTATACATTTGTTACAAAATTTAAATTTTAAGTTAATATTTGTTTAAGCAAAAAATATCATTAAGAATACACTTCCTTCTTTACTAAAAAACTTGTATAATATTTGATATTGAAAGTGTAAATGGTTTGACTTTTGTTATTATACTAGAAAATATTGAGATATTTTTTTTAATGCAAAAAGTTTGGAGCGAAATTTATTTTATGAAAGTAAATAATTTTTTCAAAGGTCTATAAGTATTGTATCTATACAGTTAAACCATTCTGATGATTTTTTCAAATTAATCCTTTTAAGCAATTAATACTGTAATTGATTGTATGTGAATGCGAAAATCGCAAGATTAATTTTGGATGGATTTCTGTTGAACATCCAAAACATTTAAAATTCAGCAGAAAAAATTATGAATTTCATTCTTATGTATTAACAAAGACTATCTTTAAAGTATAATAATATGCAGTACTGATTTATTGAAATTTTTTCAGCTGCAAATCTTTTGAATCTAAAAAAAGAAAGCGAAAACATTTATCAATTGAAAGCGAAGTAACCAAAATAAGTGATATCTGTAAGTGTTGAATTTGGGATATCTCAATGAGTAACTGATCAATTGATCAAAAATAGTAACAACTAAAACTTTTCAACCTCCAGCTAATCCAAATTAATAATGCAAGCAGTGTAGATGAGTACAATTGGTCTCACGCCCATCTTTTTAGCTCTCAAGAATATAGTTGGCTTTATCGGTTGATCAATCAATTGCTCAATCAATATTTATGAATATTAAATCAACTGATCAACCAGTTTTCAATGTGTTTATATATGCGTGTCCATGTTTATGCTTTTATACTTTAAATGGAAAGTAAATTAGTGATAAAGTTTATTTATACTTTATGAACAAGTACATAAATAAAATGTAGCATTTATTAAATGTTTTATATAATAAAAGCTGATTTGCATAACACGACAGAATACGGTTTGAGCTGTAAATTGGAACATCGACATGAAACAGTAACAAACATTAAGAATGTAATCAGACTACATAACTATAAAAGCAACTAATTGCAAAGAAATCTATTTTTTGAAATGTTAGAACAAAATTTTGTACAATTCCATTATTGTCATATAATTATTACTATAAATAATCAAATAGAATACAAAGACTTAAGTTATGTTCAAATATTTGTTACTATTAAATATTAGCATTTTTCAGTTAATGGATGGATCATCTAAGCTCAATTGCAGTTCTTGATTTATTTTACAAGCAAACAGCTTCCCACTGAATATTGTATAATAACTTAAGAAAACAATATCTCTTCTATTTTGCTATCACAAAATAAAAACTGTGGACAAAGTGGACAAGACTTTACGATCATCATTATAACTGCGGTAGACGAAAGAGAAAATGAATGATTTTAAAGCATTACTTACTTTGAAATAACTTAAAGTAACACATACCTGATAATAAAGCGTTTTAAATGAAAAAATTTTCAAGTTTAAGGAATAACAAAGGTTTTTTGGTTACAAAACAAACAGCACATATCATAGAGCAGTACTAAAATTGTAATTATATTAAGTAAGCACAAAATGATACCCACAAAACTAATTTGATAAATAGAATTAATTCAGTATAGAGTTTGCAAAGGAATTTAAGTAAATTACTACAGCTTTAGAATGTAAAATATATTTAAAATAAATAATACATCGCTGAAATATACAAAACAATTAATTCTTTTCAGTAACTCAATTAATTTCATACTAAAAATAAACGAAATATAGTCAATGTGCTTTCAGTAATAAAATTAAAAAAAACGCACTGTTCCTTTGCAAAATAATGTTTAATTCAAAATGAGGCATCATTTACAGATCTTTTATTGCCATTTCAACAAATTTTATTAAAAGTTTTAAACAAATAAAATAATTACAAAGTCTAAATGTTAGCAATAAAATAACAAATGTTACTTACATAAAATTACGTTCATTAAAGATAAAAACTTTAAATTTATATGAAACGAAGATCCATATTTTCATTTAAAATTACATAGCAATAAATCGAAAGAATATTAAAACAATACAATCGCTTAAAAGTATTCATTCAGTTAAGAATTTAAGTAAATTACTGTATTCGATTATTATTAACAAAATACTAACAATGAAAATAATAATACTTTAGTATAGATGGAAAGATCAACTTGTACTGCAGTTCATTGCATTTTACGAAAATCCACCAGTATGATTAGTCTCAATTAATCGGCGGTATTATTGATTATCTTCTGAAAATCAAATAATTATCATATTCAACAAGCAGTACATCAATATCATAACAAAATTATGCAGAAATTCATGCGCAACCGCAAAAAATAGCAAAAACAAAAATGAAAGCAAAATTCGAACACTGTAATTATTACTTATTTGCAAGTTTGAGCATCAAAAAGTTTTGCACAAGTTGGAAAGGAAAGAAAAACTAAGCAATCAAAACAGAATAAAATCGAGAAGCACAGAAAGCTTAAGAGTTGATAATATTCAAAAGACTTGATTTGCAGTGCTGAGCCAAAATAATACTCAGAACCGTTAAAAATAACAACAATGAAGTGAATACAATAGAATGATGACTTGCAAAAAAGCTTCAGAAACGTGAAGGGGAAAAAGGTACGTAAATGCGTGTAATGCAGTGGAGCAAAAAGTAGCAAAATTATGCGTTGATTACAAGTAAAATCTCAGCATTTATATCATAATTAAATTGAATTAATGAACTAATTAATGCTGTTTATTTTTTAGTTATTCATTCTAATTATCGTAATGGCCGAAATTTTATCAAACAATCGTAGCTTCCATCAACGTAAATACTGAAGCAACCCTCAAGATTTCTTAGATTTTTAAAATATCAATTAATGAGTTCACACTTTTTGATTTTTTCTAGTACAGTAACAAAATTACACATTGATAGTAATAAGAATGATTATCAAATTTGGATTACCAGCATAACTCTAGTGACTGAAAATGCAAAAATTGTAAGAATGCAAAATTTGTAAAAAACTGTGCCAGTTTATTCATATTTTAAATTAATCCCAAAGGTACTTCTGTTTAGTCTTCAAGCTTTTCAAGCTTTAACTGCTAGTTCCTATAACCTTAAAACTTTTTTCAATGTCATCTGCTCACTTTTGTCAACTCACTAAAATGAAATCAAAAATAAACAGAGATGATTAATTATTTTCTGATAACATATTAAATGATAATTTAATTGTTTGAAATTGATATTATAAATACAAATTTGGATTATCAGCATAATTTTAGTGAATAAAAATGCGAAAATTGCAAAATTAATTTGAAGTTCTTCATGAAAGTAATAATAGTAGTAGTAGTAACAATAATAATAAATAATTAATGCTAATGATAATAATAATAAACAATTAATAATAACAAATAATTATAATAAGTAATAATGATAATTAAAATAAATCGAACGCTACTGAAAGCGCAACTTATTACTTTGTAACGCTTAGAAACTGCTCTTAAAATGCTAACCAATCTACTCAAAATTATGTCGAACTGATTTCAATCATTACACGTTGTATGAAAATTATATTTTGGTACATTAAACATTCTGCAGTGAAAATGAAAATTGAATAAACGTAAGAAAAACATAAAGTAAACAGTGGATTTGCAGGGGAGAACACAATACATGTCATGCATCCAAAACGTGATATGCAACAAACTTACTTACCACGGTGAGTAACAAAGTTTTGCTTCATTAGACGTTTCCCACTGAAATTGATTGTTTCGCAAAGATAATGATAGCTTAGAGGATAATTAAGCGCTCATATAAAAGATAAGCAGAATTTCTACTTTGACCTTTTAATTAAATACAGTACTTTATGACTAATGCCTTGTTATAATAGTTGATTATTTGTGCAGCAAATGGTCTACATAAAGTGCGCATTTTAGCTTACTCTTTCCATTCTTATTACAGTTTCTGTTCAATTTGTGAAATCACTTGAATTTTTGATATATTTTAAAGTTATTTTATTGCAGAATAATGTACAAATAAACAAATGAGCAGTAATCCAAAATATCACTGTAAGAGGTAACAGAGTTACAACAGAGATTCTCAATTTTAAATTTGAACTGGACAACATTTACATACTTTCAAATATTTGAAGTAAATCTCGGTCTCAAAGCAGGCAAACTTTTCTCAACATGATCACAATGATATGCAAGAGTGAAGATTTGTTATGACTTCGATTTGAGATAAAACAAAGATTTTTTGAAAAAATAACCAAATATGCTAACGTGGCAAATATTTTTCAGTTACATTAAAATTTTTAATTTGTTTAAATAAATGATAAATACGACATATTTATCATTTTAATTTTGCATTCAGATTTTAATAATAAATAAGCAAAATATGATTAACTTACGAGAGGCTTATGATCGTCAGGCTTTCCACGATACGTGTTTACAGCATCAATTTTAAATTTGAACATTTCAACCTGACAACTGTAGGCTTTGGGAGTGAGTTTGATTATTGTGTGTAAAGGTACGTTTAAATAAGGCAATTCAGAGTAATTTTTATTGTCAAAGTAAGCTAGAATACACCGTAAGATAGCCTGAAATATAACTTTCAGTAGTAAGAACAAATAAGCATGCATATATTTTTTGCGTACTGAATTCAACTAACAACACCTCATGAGACCCAATATCTTCCGAATGAACGATTAAAATCAAGTTACTGTTTGCTTCAAATGAGATTAAACTAACTACAAAAATCAAAAATATTAACAAAACCTGATGAGATACAACAAGTACATTGCTCTGTCTTTCCAACTCCATAATAACAGGTTCTAATCGACCAACTAAATCTTCATAACTCTAAAACATCGATAAGTAACTTTAGTGTGATTAATAAGAATTGCAGAACTGTATTCACTTTAGTGCCGTCTCTATTATCGCTAACTGAAAAATTAATCCTTAAAAAAATATTCACAATTATAAACAAGTCATATCGCATGAAAAACATGAATAAAAATTAAAAAATATGAAAGTCCATAAAAATAGAGATTAGTATTATTATTAAGATTTTATAAAACATTTTATTATTGCATTATTTAAATTTTAGATCTGTAAAATAAATTCCAATTTCTTGTAATCTATGTAATTTAAGCAAAATGCAAAAGTTATGGACAAAAATGAACTAAATGTAGCTATTCATATAAATAAAAATTTAATAGCCAAAAAATATTAATTAAAAACAGAAGATGAAATTGCCTCTCCCGATGGATAACGATAATGGTATTTATCTCTGTCACGATCAGCAAACTGCTTTGGATATCTTTCTTCAAAATCAGCATAAGTTAAGCCCTCACAGATACCCTAAAAATAAATAGATTGCTTACACTGAACTGAATATGCAAATAATTATTAATATATGCATATACATATTATTATTAATACATTAAAAAATTATCTCTTCTCAGAGATAAATCTAACTTTTACATTTACATAATTAAAAACAAAAAGAATGGTTGAGTGATCGTTTAGCTTAATCTGAACAATCAAGTCTAATGATTTATGCATAAACAAACTTACAGCATCGATTTCGTCCAGAACTTTCAAAAATTCGATATGCGCTGCTAAATCACTAAGTTCTTGAGCTGTCTGCACTGCACGAATCTTTTGTGAACTCCAAATTCTAAGGTCGCCAGGAATTTTTTCAGCCTAAACTATTTACTGTCACTTAAATGAATAAATAAATAAATGAGAAAATATTTTTAAAAAATAATTTTGCAAAATAAATATTTAAGTTTTGCTTTGTCACAGTTAAGGGCTTTCAAGAGGAAAAAAAACTCCACTTCTCATACTATAATTTAGAAATATGACCTTGAAATATTCACGTAACTTTCTTGCATATTCTAGGCCGTTGGCGCTCAATGGACTATCACCACCAAGCCTACCGATTCGATTGTATTCACTTTCTCCGTGCTACAAAATCCCACAATAATGTTCAGAGAATTACTTAGACTAATGATTTTTTTCTAAAAAAAAGAAAAATGCTCTCACAGAGTGTGACTTGATTAATTTTAGAAAGCAAAATTTGTACAGATGGAAAAGTATGTGTAAATGATACTAAACAAACAAAAAGGAATGCAAACAAAAATGTAATTCGTGTTTGATTAATGCATTTCGAGCAGATACTTTTAGCAAAAGTAAAAAAGAAGAAATACTTAGAAAAAGTTAGCAACTAACTTAAGGCTTACTTTTTACAGTACAAGCTTAATTTCATTTTGCTTTTATCTCATTTTATCAGCAAGAGTAAAAAGTTTTCAAAATTATTCCTTCTTCTTGACTTCATGATAATTAATCTATTACAGCACAATTTTGTGAAGGACAATTTATGAGCTTAGCACTAGCATTAATTACTATTACTGCATTAGATTATAAGGTAAGTGATAAGAGTAAACTTCACGGAGATTTTATTATCAATTATAGAAGTAAAGCTCACTCGGGTCAAATAGATTGATCTCGGCAAAAGGTGAATATTCATGAGGAAGTAGACAACACGACTTTGTACGTGACCATTTACATTATGTACGAAGAAGGAACGGCCTGCATTGATTACTTTAATAAATGATAAGTCATCGTCTAATTCGTCATCGATTGGCTGATACTGAAATAATTAAAAATATTGCTGCGTAATTAATTACTCACTCATTTATTAAAGTAACATTAATCAAATTAAAGAAATAATCGAATGTGATAATAATTTACAGTACTAATTCACTGTATTACTCGTTTCAAATTGTAATATTTAAAAATTGAGCAAACAAAAGCGATAATTCTTATTCCATAAAATGCATATTCACATTTTATATTTAATATTTTCATATTTAATCAATAAAAACTGCCATTGCTATTTGTGAATATTTGTAGTAAAGTAATGATTACTTTGCGAATTTTATATTTTAACAGAACAAAAAACTCTGAAAGAACAAATATCGACTTGCATTGTTTAAGTACACAAAAAGCTTTAAAAAAATTTTTTAATCCCAAAAAATAAATATTTGAGCATTAAAACACATACAGTGCGATATTTTAAACAACTTTAGAATGAAAAACTTTATAACTGAAATACTTATTAAGCAATTTAAGTACTTTAAAATTTACTTGTAGTTTGTAATTTTCAATTCGCTTGGTAAAATCTTCTTTCGCTTCTTCCTCCGTCATGTGACCTTTGTAGTCAGGTGAATTTACTTTAACTTCCTGAAAGAATTAAATTAAAGACTTTACAGAAATTGAATTTGATGACAGTTTTAATGGATAAAAAGTCAAAAAAATTTGATAAATAGTATTTTTCTATTACAGAAAAACGAAAACTTCAAAATGCTTCGATACATTCATAATGAAATTTCATTGCATCAAGAAATTTTTTTACCAAAAAATTAAAAACTGCCAAAAATGTTTCAGTCAGATAACGCAATATAATGTAAAATTAACATATGTCTATTAAAGTAAAATCACAAATAATCATAAGTTTCTCACGGTGACATTTGCATTAATAATATCCGGATCATCACATATGCTTTCGATAAAGAATAATCGAAATGCTGGAACGTGATCTTTGCGGTGGCAGAAGCTAACTAACCAATTACGTCGGTCACGTGTGGTATTGGTAGCATCAAAAACCTAAAGTGAAAAAGTATCTAATCTAAATTTCAATATGAATTGAAAATAAAACTTTGAATTTATAATACACTAGCTTAAAGTTCTTGCAATCTCATAGTAAACAATTGTAGTCTTAATTTTTGTTTAATTTATTTTTGCAGAAAAATTCCATAAGCTTTGTTATAAAATTTACTACATATGCAGTATTTTATTTTTATCAAAAAATGAGTTTATATTAATTTTGCTATTCAGATTTGTTCAGTGTATTTTTTGAAAATATATTGAGTTTGTAAACAAAAATACTGCAAATGTGATAAGAATAAATTTAAGTAAACTCAAGTAGTACTTCATTTAATATTAGAAATAGAAATCTGAATATTAAACTAGTGTTTCTGTTATATTTTACTGCTCCTAAATGAAATAACAAAGTAATTGCGTCAATTATTTTTTCTTAAATATGCAAGCAAATATTTAAAATTGTTAGCTACTAAAAATTTGCATACGTATGCAAATATTTTTACCAATTTTCATTTTTTTTTTCGGAGTAAAATGATAAATTTTTTACTATCATTTGTAAAACAAAAGACTTACTTATTAAATATGTTCAAAAACTTTCAGCAATAAAAAATTTGGTAGAAAGATATGCAGAAAATTTCTACTAATATGTAATACTTTCCTTTCATTAGACGGAATATTTCCATTTTTTCTCTTTAGCAATTATTAAATTTATTCCTTCTTTTAAATATATTTCTAATCACTTGAAAAGATAAGAAATTTAAATTTTCTGATAAGATTTTTGAGTATTTTTTCACGAATATCATGCTTGTCTGCTTCGAATACTCACTGAAATAAACTTACAGCGACTTCGCCTTCTTTGCTTGTCAAATAGTTTCCCATATCTTCCATTGCTAGTCGTGCGCATTCACTGCAATTACATCAATTATTCTTCAAATTTTGTAGTCAAAAATTTTCTTTACAAAATTTAACTTACTGTAACTGAAACACATATTTAAACTTTACTTTATTTTATTTGTTTGAAATTGAAATTTGAAATTTGAAGTAACAAGTTTTGTAATTCTAAACTTTTTATCAATATTAAACTATTCAATTAAAAACAATTTGTTTAATTAACGATGACAAAAAAGGATTTGTCAGAAGCATTGTGAAGTTAGCTTTAAAAATTAGAAAATTTATGGAATAAAAATATGAAAAATGGATATAATATTACATATGTTTGATAACATGAATTATTTTTTACTAAAAAATCATAATTTGGTTTACAATTTGATTTTTTTTGGTATGTATTTTTGTCATATCGAATTTGAACTGATTTTTTTTAATTTAATTTCTAATTAAAACTACTCAAATTATTATTAAGTTAATTACTTCAAATAGCACTGCAACTTACTCTCTGATTTTATTGCCAGCTTTATTAAAAGGGCTGAAAAATTGTGATTCGCAATCTTCTGTACTGCATGCTTTACGACGATAGTCGCCAACATTGAATGCTATCAGAAAATATATTTGAATTCAAAATACAAATGAAATTTTATTTACAAATCCATTACAATCTATCTATTTTGTACACATTCGCTATTAAATTTGCGAAAGTGATTGAAATGTGAAATGCAAAACGAGTATTTACATTTACTTTGCTTTTGATAAGATAAATTCAATATAATGTTTGCGTATGATATGAAGAGTGTTGCCGATTGTATTTGAATAAGTAATAATTCTTTGCAAAAATGAATATTCCTACAAGATTCAAAAATAATAACAATAAACTTTAGCAGTAATGTTTAGTACTAAATTATTTAATCAAATATTTCATTTCTATTTTGAATAAACAACTAATTACTCAACCAACTAACTATACTATCCTACTCAAATTACTCGTATTCTTAATTAATTTCCATTTCTGAGTAAAGAAAACCTTTTGTTTTAATTCCAATCCAATTCAAATATCGGCACAATTTGTGCGAGATATATGTTTTTCCTCGAGCAGGCAAACCAACCAACGCAATCACATTAGGCACACGCACCTGTTCTTGTGTTGAATCTGAAATGCTTTCATATCAGTTACTTTATACAAAATAATACTAACTATTTAATAAGATTATTATTAATCAAAAGTAACTTTATCTCATAAACTGATTCTTTCAAGTTTTTTTTCTAAAACTTGAAATGTTGTACTTATTTCATTCAATTCAAATATTATGGTTACCATATGCATTTCAGCTAATTTTTGAAAAAATAAAGATCATTCTTTTCACTCTTTTAAAACTAACTAAAAATTAATCGAAAAACTAAACTGTAAAGTGATTTTCTCATAAATATTAATTTTAGACTAAGCTTTAATTATGCTTTAAAATTGAAAAATTAGGAGGATATAAATATAAAATTTAATAACAACATCATAATTTTCAGGATAGTCAGATTAAGATTTCGTTGCAGTCCCTACCTGGACCTTTAAGTAACATACAAGCTTGATGCCGAGTTCCTCTTAACTCTTGATAGTATAGTAAGTAATGAGAGTAGTATTTTACTATTACTTATAAAATATATTTCTTTTTGAGAAAAATATGAATTTTTAGCAATTTCGTTAATAATAACAATAATAATGAATATGCCTTGAACACATTGTGAGCTGAGCTGCAAAGTGGCATCAGATGTTTTTTTTTGGTTTTTTTGAAGTAAATAAACGATTTATTCACTAAAGCTTAATCAATATTGTGGCATAGAAGATAAATGTATCTATTGAACGTGGTCGACAATGGTGGGAAAAACAAGACATTAGTAGTACTTACTGAAATTTGAAAAACAGTCAGTGCAAGAGCCTAAGATGGAAGACATAAATTACATGCTATTTAAGTATTCAAATTAAAATCAAAAAAATATTAAAATTTAAAAAAATTAGAATTTTTCTTTCGCATTTTTGTTAATAAATATTAAATAGAAATATGCGAAATAATGCAAGGCTGATTACAGCGTATAATCACAGCACAGAAGTGACCATATCATTGTTTTATCAAATTAATTTTTAATACCAATAAAAATCTTTCGTTTTCTTTGATTAACAAAAACAAAATGATAATGAAAATGACTGATCTGATAATTACTGATTTCAGTAAACAAATTCGCATTACAATATAGCTAATGTTTCAGACATAAATTGATTGTCAAAAATTAATAAATAATATTTAATAAATTATTGCTATTTGAACGATTATAAGATTATAACAAGTAATATTAAGATAATATTTACTTGAAAATAAAAGATTTAAAAAGAATTATATTTTAAATTTGCATCTTTCAGAAATTTTAAAAATTAATTCTTAATTTTTTTCGAAAAATAAATTTTCGTTACAAACACTCAAATTATTTTTCAAGTACTAATATTAATGAGTTCTAATATTAAGTCAAATACTGTACTCTACTTTCTATTAAATTTTTTTGAAAAAATAAAATTTTTAATTTTTATTGGAAAAATAATAATAAAAATAGAATTAATCTTTTGGAATAGAATGGCAAATAAATGTGATTTGATGCAATAATTACAATTCATTTCATTTGAATTTTTAAAAGCTATTACAAAAGTAAGCAATTTAGTATGGTAATTTGTGTACAGAAAAAACAATTCAATAAATAAATAACGCAATTAATAAAATTAAAAAAGAAAAAGCAATTAAAATAAAAAATTTTAAGAAAAATGCTGAAAAGACCAAAGCTTTATACGAGGTAATGAGAAAGAATTATGATTTCGCAGAATGAATGCTCATTAATGGTCGAATAGAAAGTATTATGAGCACTAAAAATGAAAAAAAAAGAGATTAAGCAAAAGAATGTATAGGTAATAAATAAATAAATAAGTACGTGGAATAGAACAAAAAATACTTTTAGGCAATAAAGTTAA